GATGGAATCCCTGATGTTGCTGCAGTTGCGCCTGCTGCTGCTGCTGCTGCTGCTGGCTGGGCGAGTAAGGGTGACCCGAAGGCTCACGGCCAGACGGATAGGAAAGACTGCGCACCGACGACGGCGAGGCAGCCGAGTGGACCGAGTGAGAGCGCTGCTGGGAGAAGTAGGAAGAGTGCTGGGTGCCGGCGCTGGTCGGCTGGGGCGTGAAGGGCGAGGAGAGCGAGGCCGCAGAGGGCGGAGGCAGCGAGGAGGCCGAGTATGGCTCTCGCGGGACGGGCAGCACGCTGCTGGCGCGCTCGCCGGGCTCTCCGCCGGTCAGAATCGAAGACAGCGGCGGCTGCTGGTACGGCGACTGGGCAGTCGAGCCCATATAGGACGCTGGCATGCGCTTGGGGGACTGCAGAGGAGGCTGCAGCGGTTGCGACGCTCGTCCGCCAGCTGGGGCGCCGCCGTACTCGTGGTGCTGCGGAGGATGGTCATCGTGGGCGCTGCCGCTGCGCAGCGGAGGCTCGTCCGGCCCCAGCGAGTGTATCGAGAGCGGCCGCTGTGTACGCTGTTGCTGCTGCTGCTGTTGCTGCTGCTGCTGGTGATGCTGTGGTGGTGGTGGTGGTGGTGGTTGTTGTTGCTGGTGCAGCTGCGGACCCCGGGCCGCGCCCACGGCCGAGTCGGTGTTGATGATGGTCCTGAGGTCCATGGCGTCTGGAGAAGAGGCCGCGGGATCAGATGCGAGGCAGCGACATGATCGAAGGGCGTCTTTTCAGGCGGCGCGCGCAGTCGGGATCGGGGGGTGTAGTTCGTCAAAGAGGAGTTTGGTGGTTTTTTTGTTGGAAGTTCAAGACTTCTAGAAGGACTTTTTCTTTTTCCGGGCCAGGATGGACATGGGGGAGGGAGGAAGTGATAAGAAGCCGCCGGGAGAGACGAGCAGAAGCGCGGCAGCGAGCAGGAGAAGACGAGAGCGAGGGCGATGATGCGGCCGCTGGGGGGAGTCGCTGGTTGTGGTGGAAGACGGCGTTGATAGGGGGGAGTTGACTTGACGGCGGCGGGTCTTAACGCAGCTCCAGATATAGATATTGGCATAGATTGGATAGCGATGTAGATAGACGGGATAGAAGAGACGTAGATACGAAGACTAGACGAAAGGAGATATATTATTGACCCGGTATAAGGGAGTATATAGCACAGTATCAATCTTGAAGCAGCCCTCCTTCCCCAGCATCATGCCCCTGAAACCCCCCAGTCGAAGAAGAGAAGAAGATTCATAGTTGATAGTTAGACATAGATACAGACATCGAAGCCATCCTGCCCCGTGTGTTTCTTTTTGATTTCTTTTGATTCCACACTTCCAAAGCATATAATACCGTCACAGGTAGACGGAGCACCCGTACCATGGCCAAAAGTAGGTGTAGATCAGGTAGAAGAAAAGTGGTAAAAGGATGCCAGAGTGAAAGAGATAGGGAGAAATGAAGAGAAGAGACGAAGAAGGCTCATATAGAGACTCCCCAGAGCCCTCTCCCGCCGCAGACACCAACCCAGTCTCTGCCCGGGCCGGTGGCAGGGATGTGAGGCGCCCAGCTGATGTTCGACACTTCATAGTCGCAGCGCCAGGCGGCTGCAGGGCCTCGTTCGAGGGTTGAGGGGCCGCTGCCGCTGCCGCTGCCTGAGGTCGTCGTAGAATTGCTGCTGTTGCCATTGCCGCCGGAGTGAAGGCCCTGTGGCTGCTGGGGAGGCAGTGGCAGGGCGGCAGCGTTGTTCTGGTTGATGAGGTCCCAGATCAGGACCAGCGAGTCGTCTGCTCCCGTAGCGATTGTGCCTCGACGGGACGGAGACCATTCGAGACAGTTTACGGGCGCAGCGTGGCCCTTGAGTTCAAGCAGTGCCTGGCCCGGCTGGCGGACGTCCAGCACCCGGATGATGTTTGAGTCCTGGGCAAACGTTGCCAGCAGGTGGGCATCATGTGGTGACGCTAAGAATACTTAGTCCGTTTGTCTTTAGCTATGTTGATATATATATATGGATAACATACCTGCAATGCGTTGGAGTGGTGGTGGCCATACGGAAGATTGGCCTGGCGAGAGGTCTCCGGGACTCCCTAGAGGATGTTAAACATCATATCATTGTAAATGTAGCACAGGTTCAGGATGCTTACCCTTATCGTGTTTCTCCGATGGTTCGTAGATGATGGTGCTGTGCTCTAGGCTTCTGAGATCAAACATTCTCACGCTGCCGTCTGCACCGCAGCTAACAAAGACATCCACGCTGTTTGCACAGAACCGGACGTCGTACACCTCCTTGTCGTGGGCAATGAGCTGCGTCTTTGCCGTGAGAGTGGGTATGTCCCATATCGTACAGGTGGTGTCTATACTCGAGGTGATGATCAAACTGGGGGAGACAGCGTTCCAGTCTAGCGACGTTATGGGCGCAGTGTGTTCGGGGGTCTTGGAGTTGGAGAGGAGAGCAAGCGGGGAGAGCTTCTGCAGCGGCGGAGGGTTCTTGTTGCTCGCGCTCATCCGGTTGATCGAGTTGCTGCCGTAGTATTGTGGCTGGCTGGGGTTCGAGGGCAGCGACCAGAGCCGGAGATGGTCGCCCGAGGTGGCCAGCAGGTCCGTCGACTGTTTCTGCGATGATGGCGGCTCCCAGAGGATGCGGGTAACCGGGTACGAGTGTGTTGCCTCTGCGGTCTTCACAAACTCCAGCCCCGGGTCGTTGTCGGGATCGTTGTAGTCCCGCTCAGCCGTCTGCGCGTGAAGTATTTGGATCTACATTTGTTAGCACATACGACGAGCATAACAGGCTATATGTTAGGTGACGGCGTAGAACATACGTAGTTGTGGGTGTCTTCTAGATAACTTCCGAGAGCAATCTTCCCCGCCGAATTGGTGTTTGGCGCCGCGGGCCACTTGCACCAGTCGAGCGCATACAACGCCCACGGAGCGAGGTAGCTGCTGTTCTTGGGCGTGTGCATGTCCCCGTTGTGGACGGTGGACGAGCCGGCCGAGTCGTCTATCCGGCCCAGATCCATGTGAGGGCGTATATCTGCCAGCCCGAGCGGCGAGTACGGCGTCGACGACGACTGTCCAGACGGGGACATCATGCTGGACTGCTGCTGCTGTTGCTGCTGCTGCTGCTGGTGATGCTGGTATCGCTGCTGATCTACTCCTGGGCTGGAGGGATAGGACTGCAGCTGGCTCATAGACGACTGTTTCGACGGCGTCATAGGCACCGCTAGCTGCGAGGGAACCCCAGACGAGGAAGACGAGTTGTGTATGTTGTTGCTACTATTGTGATGTGTCGTGGATGGCTGTCCCTGGCGGCTTGCAGGACCAGGCTGTAGGGCTCCCGGGAGCGCATTATTCTGGTGCTGCTGCTGCTGCTGCTGCTGGGAACCCGGCTGCTGCTGGATGCTCAACAGCGGCGGAATCGAGCTGTGCTGCTGCTGCTGCTGCTGCTGCTCATTTTGCGGCTTCGAAGAGGCGTTCGCTGAGGGCATATGCAGCTCCTCTGGCTGCCGTGGAAACGTAGGCGCTCTGCTGCGGGGGCCGTCGAATGGTATACTAGGCTCGGCCATGGCTCGGTTGGGCACGAATACCGCCCTTCGTCTGCTGTCGTGAAGCTGACCAGCATGCAGCAGCAGGGACTCTGGCGTTTAGCGGCCACGATACGGGCATAATACTGAGAGCCGGAGTCGTAGAGTCGCGCAGCCGTAGGGGAGGTCAGGGAGTGTGTTAAGTAGATGTCGATGGCGGCGGAGGGCAGCCCGGCGCCCAAGGGGGAGGCAGTAAACAGCGTCCCTTCAGCCGCTTGTCCGCCTCGTCTCGCCGTCTCCCGCTGGTCAATCGCCGGTTCTTCCTGCGTCGCTCGTCGGGCGCTTGTCTGGCCCCGTCGTCTTCGCGATGTTTGTCTTCTTCTCGTTGTTCGTTCTTCTTCTTCTTCTTCTTCTTCGTCTCTCAACTTTCGCCCTTTGACGTCGACGGTGACGCTGACTAAGACGAGCATCCGCGGCGGTTTCAGCTTCTTGAAGGTCAATTTCGGCCTCAACGAAGCGCAACGCAAGCAGAGACGAGACGACGAGAGTGACCGGACGGAAAAGCGACGAAGAGGAGGACGAGAAGAGATGGACGGCCGTCATTCAGCTCTGCTGCTGCTCACTGATACCCCGTTGGCCTTTGCAGCACTGAAGGAGACCTGCGGCCATGCTCTATCAACTATCTTGCAGGCCCACGCGACAGCTTCAAGAGACGATAAGGACAGGGGGCCGGCGGTGCTGGACATAGCCGTCTCTGCCTGCGGTAAAGGGAAGCCCTTTGATCTGCTGCAGCGGTTCCTGGCTGATATGTACCGGCTTCTGGCTGCCGTCAGCGCTGCTGCCTCGGTCGAGCTGGACGGGCCCGGAGGCGTCGATGCCAGGGTCTTCTTCGTTGATCTAGACGGACAGGCCTGCGGTGATGCATGCAGTTATGGTCCCATAATTGGGGTGAAGAGCTTGATGCGGTCTAACAGGTCGTGGGATACGGTTTATCTGGCATCGGGCTGTGAGAGAGCGGCGTCCTTTGCGGCAATGCTCTCTGCCAGAGAAACCACTGATAACAGGATAAAGACAGCAGATGTCCGTACCCTAGACCTAAAGACATCAGGAGAGAAGCCATCAACCGGCCTCGTCTTGGACCAAGGGACAGCTCCGCCCACTGCTGCGGCGCACTCATCTGTCGCCGTGGGAGGGACCTTTGACCACCTACACGCCGGACATAAACTACTTCTTACTGCAACTGTACTGGCATTAGATACATGCTCGTCCATATCTCAGCCTGCACAGCGGGACGGCCAGGAAAAGCGAGTTGTCACCGTCGGTATCACCGGCGATGAGCTGCTGGTGAACAAGAAATATGCTGAGTTCTTAGAGTCCTGGGAAGACCGCTGGCAGGGTGTCTGGCGCTTCCTCCAGTCTATTATCGACTTCTCCTCTTCTAGCACCGTGGACATTAGGCGTGAAAACGAGCCTGGGCCCAATGGTAGACGAGTCATCGTCTCCTTGTCCCCAGGCTTAGAGTTTAGGTTCGTCCAGATTGCTGACCCGTTCGGTCCTACGATCACAGACCGCGACATCACGGCCTTGGTAGTATCAAAGGAAACTCGCTCTGGCGGTCAAGCCGTCAATGATGAACGTCTGAAGAAAGGATGGCCGACTCTCGAGGTCTTTGAAGTCGATGTTCTGGATACTGCTGATGCAGTATCAGCTTCAGAAGACAGCTTCGAATCCAAGATATCAAGCACAGAGATCAGGCGGCGACGGATGAACCTCGCCAAGGAGAGCAGTCTCTGAGTATCCAGGATTTGCCAACGGAAATGCCTCCCTCCCTTACTGACAGTCTCCCGTGTATGTACATAGCCATCTGCTCATACCTACACCTCTCTATCATTCATGAATGCTATGCCCCTGAATAAATACGGTCTCGCCTCCTTTCTGCTCTGTGGATCCCCTAGTCTTCAATTCTCCTGCATGAGAATATTTACACCCCTGGTAACGATTGGTAGTTCTATATGTATTGTCGACTAATAGCAGACTTTGGAAACGCTAGGAGTTGTTCCTGTCATAGTTGACGCCTGCAGCGTCTGCATGGCATGGCACACCACCTTCCCCCATGTTTGCCATGCAGGGGTGGCTAACGGCCAGCGTTGCAAATAGTTATGCTAGGAAACGTATTTTCGACGGTCAATTGGTCGTAAACTGAATTTCGTATAAAAATGCATCTCGCGATGACGTGCTTCACACCTTGGTATTCGTTGAGAAAGTTGGCCTCAAGAGTCTGTCCGTGTTAGTGCAAGAAGGTACCGCCCCCTTGAGTCTAGACGAATGTTGCAAGCGGATCAATGCACATCTTCCTCCAGTTTTGCCCATCCCTGCTATCAATTGCATTTACCTAGGCACGGAGTATGGAACCCAGGTAGAAAAATGGTGATCTGGCATGGAAGTAACTCCTAATTCAGGGGTATACCAGTCACATATGCCGCCCATATCATGAGCTGCTGCTCCAGGGCCACGTAGTTCATTCACCGGAGGCTGATGACGATAAGGGACGCACTTGCTGCTGGTCTGTGGGTTTCCAGCAATATGCTTTGTCCACATCACTTCTCCTTGCAAGCCAAGTACACGCCTACATGAAGAAGACATGCCCTTACCTGCAGTTGGTGGGGGCCATTGGAACACGTCTGAACATGACTCGGGTAACTGCGGCATGACTCAACGACACGTAAGTGAGGCTAGCTGCCTCGTCTGATATCGAGTTGTGCTGGGATATATCTTACAACTTTGGAGGGGGGATGTGGAAGCGCTGGGTTTCCTGCTTTGCACCCCTTTTTTTCACGGTAGCCAGCTGGCTAATGGGGGGATAACCCATGACGATGTATAATGCCAGCTTCAGCGAAACAAAGAGTGCGAAGAACCACTTCTCTGATAGCAACATAACACCATCATCACCTGGCAAGAAATTTATGAAAAGAAAAATAGTGGCAATTGATGGAGTTTTTCTGCGCACGCTTTCATCAATTGGTTTCCCTATCTGTCCCGATATGTATCACGACAGTTTTGTTTGACCTTTGACTGTGGATCTAGGTATTTCTTGTATGCTAATAAGGGCGAGCATAATTAATACACGCTGGACAGACTGGATATGAGAACTCTGCTCCCATCTCTCTAGGCCTTGTCGTATTCGACCGGTTGACTGACTAGTTATACGAGTGCTTGAGGTTTAGAGACACTATCCGTATGTTGGACAAAATCGCAGCTTGATGCAGTTAAGCATCGAATCGTGTGCTAGGGCCGATGGAATCCTGATTTCTCATGAATTAGCCGCTTGCCATCCGACGAGGTACGTAATCACGATGTGAAGTTCACCAATGACATATAGAAAACATACTTCTGCTCAATATTCGGGGGAAACTGAACAGTCAAACTGGTTGGCCCTGAAGGATGTTATACCAGAACAAGATAAAGTATAGCGCAAGTGGTTTAGTTATTTGGCTTCGCCTTGAACGCTGCACTGATAGCCACACAAAGTTCAGAAGAAAAATGGCTCCGATAAACAGGCATAGTTACCGGAAATTACATCGATAACCCTGCAGGGGTAGAAACGATAGTTTATGTAACGGCTGCTGGTTCGAGATTGGAGCAGCGCCTTGGGGACTATGCAATCGTGAAAAGAAGGCGTTAACGTTGACCTATTTGAGAAGAGATTTGGCCATCAACGTGGATAGGACTATATTTAGAGTAGAGAGAAACAAAAAAGCCCGCATCAGAGAGAGTGGAAGTTTATTTATTCTGAAGCTGAAACAATCCGAGATGGTGGGTGACCGGGACTCCCTAGATTATTGTTCTAAGTAAGCGCTGTGATTACAGGGGGGTTGCGCCATCCAGACCAGGATGGGGCCAGAGTCAGGTAATGGCGACTATCTTTCACAAAGGAAGCTGGAAAAGGTTGTTAAGGATGGGCTAACGAGGTTCTGCAAGGTAAGATGGCATCGATACCTCGTAGATTTGGGGCTGTAGCTAGTGGCCATACCAGCTGTGCTATGCAGCCACAATGATGATTGTGGTATGAGTAGGACTAGAGAGTATGACGGTATATCTCACACGACATATAACCGGAGAAGGCGGGGGCTAAGGGGGGGGGGAGCACAGTCTTCCAGGGGGAAGAAGGGGGAATGACATAGAGGTGGCAAGCCGAGGGGGTTTGATCAGGATGCATCGACATAGAAGGAAAATGTAAGTATATGGCTAACCCTTTTTTAAGTCTGTGCGGACATGGATTGCTTATATGCAGTATGGACGTATCACGGCGAGCTATCCAGCAACTTGTGGAAGTGATTTAATGCTCGTGATTTGGGCGAAGTGCCAGGGACTGCACTGCTGCTTGTCACTTGCTTGCAGTCTGTGCAACCCCACTCCCTGCGCTTTGAGGGTACGATCTTAGCTCTCCAGTTCAATATTTGACCCCCATTTTCGTTTTTTGGTGGTTGATGTTGTGCATTTCAGCATTTTAGGAAGTCTTGCTACTGGTGTGCGGAATAGGACCAAGAGGAATGCGATCCAGAAGTATTTGGTATAGAGCTGAGGTAATAGAGGTCAGCTAACAGGGGCGGAATCAGAGAGGATTGCATTGAAGGACGATATATCACCAAGGTATAGGTAAGATTTCTCGTGGCTATTGGTTGGAGGTCGGGTTTGTATGCGCCTCAAAACACAAAATAAGCATGTACCGAGAACCAACCGCTCTTCACCCTGATAACTATCCAGTCTCGCAGCACAACCCTGTCTGAGGACAAACCTCAAGCCTTGGTAAAGGCGAAGCACAGGGTTAATGCAACTGTTTGCAGCCACTGCAATGGAGATCTCAAGATTGGTGAAAGCCGAACGAGTACCGGCTGATCCCAGAGCGTATTATTAGCATTCCTCCTGCCGTTCGTACTTCGCGTGTCCACACCGAGTACTGTTGAGGCAGCGTATGTCGTCCCGCTTACGAGAAACGCGCCATCCGGACCTGCTGGCTCTAGATGCCCGGTATACTGAAAGGAACCAGACGGAACTGAGTCGGCGTGCCCTTTCCAGGGGTATGCTGCATGTTAGGGATGATCACTTCACGAATGAGCTGCATGGCCGGTCCCATCAGCGAGTACTCAGTCTCGCCACTGTACGGAGTCGACATCGTGCATTCCCACATCGTGCATCGTTATAGAAGCACAGCAGCAGCAGCAGCAGAAGTGGTAGTAATTGTTGTTGTTGTTGCTGATATCCGTAGTTGATGTGAAGTTGAAGTTGACGTCGAAGATGAAGTCGTTTTATCCCAAGTGGGCTGACCGCCTTGAGTTCTGCCGCCAACCCGCTATCAACTTCATCCGACCTTCAGCGGCATCGGGGTATCAAATCAAACGAGGCTACAGCAGAATCAAGCATCAGTCTAGTTACGAGACAAGCCACGCTGTCCAATGGAGCACGCATAGTTTCCTCCGTCTCACGTGGCAGCTGGCGCTAACAGAAACACTCTTTGACTCCGTTGTTTCCCATCTCTGGTTATAGCAACTCGTTTATATATATCCTGATCCTGGTGGCGCTGTTCCAGGCCAGGGTTCCAGAGACCCCAGCAACGTCCCCGTCTTATATTCGGTTCAAATGCCACCGTGATTCGCTTGCTTCGTGTGAAATTGCCAGCGGGGATGTCTGCCGTTGCAGGAGTTTTGGCTTGTGCATCGTCCAGGGATTGAGCTGTGCTGAAGAGTCCAAACACGAGAAGTGCAGAAGCTCCATGGGCCGACAGGAGGGCTCCCTCAAAGACGATTCGTCCGTTACAGCCGCGCCACCTCTCTGGTCGTGCCTGTCCTCTCAGCTCGCTCACGATTCGCAGCGGCCCGCCCTGCTGCCGCTGCTGGCTGGGGATCTGCTGGTAGCTTTTTCGGTCATGTGACCTGATGGTGGGCGATGAGGGTCCAGGATTGGGCCAGCGAGCCCTCCTTTTCTCCCGCCTGCCCTACGTGCAGACGACCTGCAGTCGTGAAGGAAAGCACCCGAAAAGTGGACGGACAGCAGGAAAAGCAAAAAGAAAAGAAACCACAAGAGGGACAGAAGAGAGAACCAGGAGGGAAAAAGAAACGAAACGAGAGGGAAAAAAAGGTAAAGGGAGCCCTGTCTGATCATGCACACGTCTGTCAATCCTACTTGACAACATTGGGGCCAGGAGTACGGAGGTTGTCGCTTGGAATTGTTCGGTTTTATATCCTGCGTCTCGCCCTGCCCAACCATCGCCCTTGCGACTGGAATCTGTTTATCCAAGCTGAAACGGTGTAGTTATATATCATCTCGGCATTCTTGATCGCCTCATCTCCAGCTCTATTTTTTACTATATATACTCTATATTGGTACCAATTACCCCATACAAGCTGTCATCGATCTTCAAGCACCCCCAGAATTTCGCTCCAGCACAAGCTGCAGTGATCGGTGTGCCTGGAAATTTATCTCGTGATTTCATATTGTGCCATATGACCTAGTAACCCTAGCACTTGCCAGGCTGTTGATCCATCCCTCTCTATCTCTGATTTATTTGGTGCTTTGGTATTATCCTTTGGACCAACTTTTAATTTGTCCTCCCTCTATCCACCCAGCAAGCTAATGACTTGGAGTTTATATCGATCCTGAAACAACAGGGAAAAGGAAAGGAGGGAAAAAGGAGAAGAAAGCTGTTGGCAAAAGGGGGGAAGTGACGCGCAAGACGGTACAATGGATAACGAACCCAAAGGCATACTGCGCCTCTCGAATGAGTTGTTGAAGGAAATACTGGATCATCTCACTCGGGATCCAGAAAGATGCACCAGTGTTGACCACCGCGCATATCTTTCTTTTGAGAGCGTTAGGAGACCGAGTCAGCCAGATCCCCCGCGTTTGTGGCTAGAGGGCAAGAACGGGTATCATGAAGATCTCCGCAGCGATGTTGACCGATTTCGAGAGGTTTGCAAGCGGTTTTCAGAAGTTGGTGCAGCTCATAAGTTTAGTCGGGTTGTCGTCCGATTTTCAGAACCTGCGTTTAAGAAGCTTGACCAGCTGTCAAGCATTCCGCACCTGGCAAGACATGCAAGAACCTTTACATATATAATCCGGTCATTTTATGTAGAAGGTAAATTTTTGAATGCCTGTCCTTTTTGTATTGTTCTCAATTCGTATCTTGTTTTGCGGAAATGCTCACGGGCCCTTTTATTTTACAGGAAGAGATAATATACCCCAGCTGCTTTCAACGGCCGATTCAAGCAAACTCAATCTGGCCGAACATATCCACCGTCTTGAAGAACAGAGGAGATTGGTTTCGTCAAATGAAGATTTAAACTCCCTTATAAGAGCAATGAAATCATTCACATCTCTTCAACACGTGAAGATCTTGAGGGTCCAAGATGAAGCTGAGCGTGATTTACGATCGTTCATTGATAGGCATGATAATCCGTTGGACCCGTTAGTAGTGGTGGATTGGAATCCTGCATGCATTCGCGCCATTCAAAACGTTGGTCTAGCACTGTTGGAGGCTGGATCTCCTGCAAATCGCTTCTCGGGCCCGCAGATCAACCCCCAGGCTACGCTTACACTGAAGAGGGCACCCGTGCAACTTCTTTCTGCCCTTGCAACAAAGTTGACATGTCTTGAGATTCATTTTGATGCAATGAGATATGTTAACGCAGAGATGAGGGAGCTCTCGGAAGTCTTCAAGACCTTATTCACGGCAGCTAAAAATATGGAAGCTATACACCTGGGGTTCCCATCTCGGTTACCATTAGACCTCCATCTGGAAGATATATTCCATAACGTGCACTGGGAAAGGCTCCGTGCATTTGGTATCCAAGCCTGGAGACTTGACTCGGAAGAGATTATTAATTTTGCTCGACGGCACCGCAGATCTCTCCGTGGCCTTCGCCTTCGTGATGTCCTGCTAAAGGAGGGAAGCATGTGGAAAGATATTTTATCCATGCTCCACGATGAAATGGAAAACCTTGAGTGGGTCAGTCTACGTCGGATTGATTACTCCAACGCATTTGACGAGAAATGGGCTACAAGCGCAGACATATCGGATATCCAGTCGTTTCCAAACTCGGATAGTGAGGATGATGAGATGTTTGAACCATACGTCCCAGGCAACTATCACAATATCAACGGAGACGATGACGATGATAACACCAGTCTTGGCGATGAATCAGACGGCCTCAGTTCTCATAACGGTGATGTTGGACCTAGAGCAAACCAAATAGAATTGATACCAGACAATTCACTGTCTGCTCCGTTGCTTCTACCGCCTTTCACTAACCAGTGGGAGGTTCTAAGCTCTATTCCGGCAGATGACCTGGAAGATGACGGTAGAACGGTGGATTACCGGCAACGAAAGATTTGGGAAGCCTGGGTTATATCCAAGTCGCGGGTTTCTGCTAGCCAGGACCGTTGTAGGTGACCTTTTTCGCCTATCCATACCAGAGAGAGTTCGAGAAGGTTACCTTTTGCTCCTCCTCTTTTCATGTTAGGTCTTTGTGGTCGCTGTCCTTTCTTCAGTTTGGGTCTTTGGCCAACATAAAATCGTCTTTTATCTTTGAATGTACTTTCATGTTTTTGTTTTCCTGTTTTTGTATTGTTTTGGGCGGATATATTCATCTCGACCTTATTGACGATGTTACGTATTTATATCTGCTTCGGCTATCTTATGAAGAATCATGAAGGTATGAGAAACGAACAATATAATCCATTAGCGTTGTGACATATCGGACATGTGACCATCGTCTTATTTGAAAGCCTTACATAGACAGTATGTATTTATCGGAAAGCCGGATGCTATATTGGTGTACGGGGTAACTAATATCTGCAAATTGTACCCTTTCATTGGCTATTAATTATATCATGGGTATTATGGTTAACTCATCTAAAATATCAACCGGTGCAAGCCGACCAAGTACATAGCCGCATCTTTTGGCAGGATATTCCAAAAGTTCTAGGACCTTTGGATCTCCGAGTGCTTCCAGATATGCACAGAGTGCATAGCATTCAATCTGGGCTCGTGAATATAGCCAGGTGTCAGGCCGCTCGGATAACTTCCCGAGCCAATATGCAAGTATAATCATGCAGCTAGGATCTTTAGCAAGTAGTGAGTTCGTATAGTCCGGTAGCAGTCTCCCCATAAAACCCAGGATCTTGGAGAAATTTTCCCGGTTATGTTCAAGCTTAAGAATCGGTGTAAGCATTCTCAGAGGCCAGAGACAGGGGTTATCATCTTCGGTAGTTGTATCCGTTATTCCGCATATTTCAGCAAGCTCTGGGTGCAGGCCAACCCTTCCTGGCCTATGATCACCAAACAATTCCTCATCTGAAGACTCCATAAAAACCTCATACCAGATGCTATGTTCAAGGTAACGGCTGAGGTGCATGAGGAGAAAGCGTAAGCCACCTTGGATGAGAAGCCAGTTAAGATCTGCAGGGTTGTTGGTAAATACCCACGATTTGGTATAATCGGGGTCAGCGCCGAGGAAGGTAATGCTGCTCATGAACATGCATGTGGACATTAGACCATCCATATTGTGGAGACCGATGCTAGTTCGAATTTCCTCCTGGTATTGTCTAAGGGTTTGCTGCCAATGATATGCATGCAGAACTTTGTATGAAGAGTCACCCTTGGCCTGGTCAGCTATAGCGGTGGCACCAATACCAAGAATAGCATGCATGAGATACGGCGTCTTCCCACGTGTCGAGTTAACGAACAAGCTTAGATCAAACACACAAGGGAGAAGTAGATACACCAACCTTGAACGCCAGAGGTAGCATTTTTGTTGCCACGACTTTCTCTCCAGCATCAGTGAGTGGAGTGTTGTCATGTTTGGTATTTAGAAAATGATGAAGGGCAATTATTGATTTTGAATCAGCGGTTAGGGGCCGAATCTTGGTTTTTGACCCTAGTTGGAGAGCGTAGGTGACCCGCGCGGCAAGATCTGCCTTCGACATGGAGTGAAATACCGAGTCTATAGAGCCACACTCATCTCTGATGCTAGACACATGACTACCTGATCCTGCATTGAGAGGTACCAACGCTTGCTGGTCCAGGTAATCACAAGATACACCATAAGCTTCGCACCTAAGGCAATGCGGCCGCGTTTCATCGCACTAGATATAGTTGTTTTTGTCAGTAATCCCTGGTATGTACATGCATTTGCATGGCCGCCCAGGAATGGGGGCTCGGAGATCGATATCTACTTTAACCCTGCGTTTCTTGCAGTTGCCGCACCCAGCTCTAGATTTTCGATGGGACTTTCGAAAACTGCATGGCTTCCCGGTCGATTGATCACTGCCGGAAGAAGAGGTATTTCGCCGTTGAGTTCGCTTTGGAACTGTACAGTTTTTTATCCGGAAGACCACCTGGTTGCCGATCTTCCGTGACGGGGTCACTAATATCCCCTTCCGTTGGTCCAGATTGCTATCCAGGTCATCATGACATTCTGATGGGGCGGATAGATGCTGAATATTGTTATTTAGCATTGTGTTTTGGAGCAGACGTTCACCTCACAGCGAACGTTGGTCAAACTGTTGATGTTGATACGACGAATATCTAGATTGGGCAATGCTTGGGAGCAAGATGATCAGTCTAGTCGAGATCCCCAGACAGGGCTCGATATATAAATTTCAGCGATCCCTATCATGGAAGGCTGTGCACCTATTTGGCTCATCTTTCCAAGTCATTCACAGGGCAGTGGGTCAGCGAGGCAGTGTTTTTCTGCGTTTCTTCTGGCTCCTTTTTTGCTTTTGACGTTTTGAGTGTTTCTCAGATCAATGAGGCTGAATACGAATCAGCGCTAGACCCAATACAGTAATATTTCGTGTTCTGGATTTGGATGACATAAGCGGGTCGTTGGAGCCCTTGCAGCCGACGATATAAAACCGACAAGACGGGGATGGCGAGATGCGCGAAGGGGGCTGTGGTCTTGAAGGGTGAAGGTGATAGGCACGGGTGATCATGTCCCTGTCAGGAATAGGCTGGGCCCATGTAACAAAATGCATGCTTGTTTGCGGTATCATATCTAGAACTCCATACTATACAAAAGGTTGGGAAACAGTGGTGGTGGTACATTGGAGATTATGGGGTCTGGACCCGTGATGGTGGCAGAGGAGGGAGTACTTCAGATGTCTCTTCAACTTCCTCAGCGTCGAGGTCTTCATCATCCTCTGAATAGCCCATGGCTCTACTCCAAACTCCGTCCCAAATCCCTTTTTTGGCAGCAAGAGTGCCTACCATTAACAGCGGTAGATGCCACACGCTCGCCCAAAACAAGCCTCGCGCAGTCCCCTTGGTTCCTTCAAGTTTCCAGAACCGATACGCTTCCCTGGTGAGCCAGGAGTTGATGAGCATACCGCCAATCAAAAAGCCCTTATCAACTACTCCAGCCCACCACAGACCAGCACATAGAGGGAACATTAAGAGGGAGTAGCGCAAAGCTACACGGCCATTTCGTGCTGGATTGGTCCATGCAAGCATCTTATATCCGGCATTTTTGTATTCGTCCCGAATTAGATGGGACAAGGCATTGAAGTGCGGGAACTGCCACGCAAAAAGAAGGCCAGCAAGGAGCCAGCCCCCCACGCTCTCTGGCCCAAACAAGAGATCCTTCCAGGTATCGTGGCCAGTTATCGCCGTTTGACCAGCCGCAGCCGCCCAGCCCATTAGAGGGGGAATCCCACCTACCACAGCCCCGATCCAGGTGTTAATGACAGAGATCCGCTTCAATGGGGTATATATAAAGCCATATAGGATGATGTTGGCGGCTGACAGACCGGCCACGGTTGGATTCGTGCCAAAATAGAGGGCAGTAAGACCAACGGCTGCAGTTCCAATGGCGAAGAACACGGCAGCACGGGTAGACATGAGTTTTCGAACCAAAGGCCGGTTGCGCGTTCGAGACATGAGAGCATCGTATTTAGGCTCAAGAAGCATGTTTATTGTGTTGGCACTAGCGCTTGATAAGAATGTTCCCACAGTCAGGTAACAAAACGTCAACGTAGAAGTAGAGAGAGTCGGTAGAGGAGTGACGGATGGGTCAAGATGTAATATCGAAGGAACCGGGTAGAGACCGTATGCTGTAGTAGCTGTAAGAACAATTAAAAAGGATAGCCGTGGCTTCGTAAGGGCGAGAAAGGCTGCTAGTTTTCCCTTCAGAGAAGATTTAGGCAATGACGAAGAAATGCTCGAGAGCTGTGAAGATGCATCAGGGCGTAGCTCTTGCTCCGAGGAATTGGTTCCGCCTTGGGCTTTTAGCCGCTGCCTCCGTCTATGAGGAAGCTCTTGCACTGCCCCCGCAGTGCTCTGCGGTATTGAAATCGGTTCATTAGTTGAACTATATGTGGTAGGGGCTTTCGAACTGAAGAGAACTCCAGTCTGATGCGTAGAGACGGTCCGTGACCATGGCAAGAAGGATTTAGGTCTAAGCTCGCTGGACGTCAATGGGTCGTGGGACGAGAAGTATGACTTCCGTAGGTACCGCGGACATAATTGAGTATCGTTCTGCAAGTATCTCACAGCTGCTGTAAAGGTCCGTAACTGGACGTGTTGTGGTGGAGGGCCGTTTCTCGAAGTCAAGATGCATCCCATGCAGCGACCTCCCGGCTCCAACTTGGCCCATGGCCGCAGGGAAAACGCCCTCAGGCTCATCACCAGGCTGGAGATTGTTCAATGGATGGCAAACCCGGCATCCCTCAGCCCATTCTTCGTTCTTGAACGCTTTTCTCGGCCTTGCCTTCGTTTTAGTTTTTGATATCAAAAAGTCCAACGACCCAAAATGGTTTAGTTCATAATGACTAATCTTTATCACATGACTAGGGCTTGGCATGAGCCTCCTTTTTTGCCGCGTTACCCAATTGGGATTTTACCATTGCAAAGCACAAAGTTGTCAACAACATCAACACCGACGGCGAACGGCATCTACAACTATTGAACAGACAAGGCGCTTGGATTAGGGAATAGACAAGATGGAGTCGCTACCACAGATTATTCAGTCAAGCATAATAAACCCCTTACAACCCCTACTTCGACAAATCACTACATCTTTACCTGTTCCCGTGAACGACGCGCTCATCTCACTACTCGGTGCCAACTGCTTCACATCCCTCGTCCTCGGCCTTGACATAACAAAAGACCCAGAATGTCTGCCGCTTGCAATTTCCAAAGCTCTTGGAATTGCCATCGTACTGTTCAGCGCGATCGTCAAAGTTCCGCAGATTCTCAAGCTGATCTCCTCACGCTCAGCAGCCGGAGTCTCCTTCACATCTTACGCGCTTGAGACGACCAGCTTTCTTATCACTCTTGCTTACAATGCGCGTCAGGGATTTCCTTTCAGTACATATGGTGAGGTTGCATTGATTGCTGTGCAGGACATTGTGGTCAGCGTTTTAGTTTTGGTATTTTCTGGCCAAACAGCTTCTGCAGGAGCGTTTCTCGCTGCGGTCGTTGGTATCGTCTACGCCTTGCTGTTTAGTGGCGAAACCATTGTTGACCAGGCTACTATGGGCTATCTCCAAGCTGGAGCCGGACTACTCGGTATTGCCAGCAAGCTCCCCCAAATCTATACGATCTGGAACCAGGGAGGCATTGGACAGCTTAGCTCTTTTGCGGTAAGGCGCACCTTTGCCAAAATATCCAATTTTGATGCTTTTAACTGTCATATGCTACCCGAGACACGATATCTAACTTGCCTTTAATCTAGGTTTTTAATTATCTTTTTGGTTCCCTCTCTCGCATCTTCACTACCCTCCAGGAAGTGGATGATAAACTCATACTCTATGGCTTTGTGGCTGGATTTACCCTTAACGTCATACTTGCTGGCCAAGTAATCTACTACTGGAACGCTCCATCTGCCGTTACCGAGAAGACCTCAACCCGAGTTTCACACGAGCAAGAGTCTGCAGGAGTATCGAGCGGAGTGTCCCAGAGTCCCCCGGTCAAAGGCCCATCAACGAGACGAAGAGGCTGATTAGTTATACCCATGGATGTCTTATCTATCATTTGTAATATTGAGTTGGTTTTATCTAATGACGAAAATAATAGTTAATGTTTATTCTTCTATGCTGCGGCTTGTTTTTTTGGAAGTAAAGTTGAGCAATTTGGTGTCTCATCTGGGTTGTGTTCTAGTTTACTGGCTGCTATCTTTTTCTTTTTGAAAAGGTTATGCTTAAGTGTCATACCCCCGTTATTCTTAGTATTTTCGAAAAGCTGATTTTATAAGGATATTGTCTCAACGTGGTCGTGGCTCTGCGCCAGTCATCATATATCGGAAGAAATCTTCCAGAGGCATGGTAGGAGTATCCCTAGATGGAAGGCTGGCACCGGCCTTCACCTCCTCCCCAGTACCCTCCATCACTTCATCCTCATCCTCAGATTCGTCAAGGTCTCGTCCAGCGGCCCCCTCGACATTCTCGTTTAATTTCCTGGTTAGGCCTGTAACCACGTTGTTTAACCCGGCTTCCTTCTCTTCGATAGTATAATCACCACCCCAATTTCTCCTTCTAGCTTCCATGTTAGCCTCAATAGGTGCCCATTCCCACAGAGCTTGTAAGTCTTCCCCCGATAACTGTTGTGTATTAGCACCCTTTTCAGACGTTGAAGTATTGCCAGCTGTAAGTTGTTGTTGGTCACCACTTGGTTGCCCAAGAACTTCTTTTCCCACCGATCGCCCGTGAGCTAGCCAGTCTTCTACCCGGGGTTCCAGTTTTGTTCGCATAAGCTGATTAAGCATAGAGGATTCTGTCCTGCCGGGGAACGCGGGTGTTGGATACACAACCAGGGACGAGAATAGATCGCGATGTTCATGAAGCAGCTGGGATATGGTAAGAAGGTTGTTCGATATTATTGTAGCTTGTGATTGAAGTGATGACCTGGTAGATATGTTGATTAGTTTTAAGTCTCTTGTTGTATGTTTCCGGGCTCCTTGGGAACAGTCAATGCTACTCACCAAGCTGGGAGTGGCTGGCTCTGTGAGATATTGTTGACTAAAGATCCCAGTGACTGGGTCAGGTTAACGAGCCGTTGCCGAGTCTGTTCAATGATTTTTAGCTGCTCTTGAGTTATGGACGCCATTGTAACCCTGCGTGAGTTGTGTGTTGGCTTATTTAACAGATGCGATTGCTGTTTGGTCGGCTTGATGGAGTTGTTGCAAGCGCGAAGCCAATTTAAGCTCAACTAACTAGTTACCCTGGTCTTATCGATAAGGAGCCGTCAATTACCACAGAGCCATATTCAGATCCTACGTAGATATAGTTTATTTCGCTGCCATTGAAAAAATATAAGGCTACTATTCATCAAGGAAATTTTCATTACGCTTAAAAACTCCAGTATAGTATAGACTCCATATGTCCCAAAATGACCAATACTGTTTTCCAAATAGCGGAACAAAGAACTGGAAAGAAATAGGAGAGAATCGGGGAGTTGGGGCTCAGCGGAACACGCTTCAACATGAGACATAAATACAAGGGTATCATAAAATGGGTGGAGGAGCCAAAGTCGAAGTAGGGGTGAGGTGACTCGAGGTAGAATGAGGTAGATATAAAAGAGTCTAAAAAAGGAAATAGGGATCAGCAATCTCAAGGCGCTTCTATCTATTGTTTGTTAGGGATTTCCTTGGAGGTGGTGCTGCAGATAGTATTGGGACTTTTCGGTCGCCATCGGTGGCATGTTGGGTCGTTTGAGTGAGGGAGGTCATCATATGAGCCTCAGATGGATACTTGACATCCTGTTGATCCGGACCATAGTATGAGTGGTTATAAGACTGTGCCATACTAGGATCGTATGGGTACTGAGGATGGGGAGTTTGCTCGCCTCCCCAATACTTGTGCAAGCCATTGTGTGATGGAGTCATGATGGAGGTATCATTCCATCTTTCATGCAGACTACTCGACTGACTCTCCCGCCGGGATCTTCGGCGACGGTTGCGGATAAAGAAGAAGCAACCTACGGATAGAGCCGCCCCGAATAATAAGAATCCAATGATGGGTAAAACAATGATGAGAATCAAATTTTTCCTCGAGTGGCCCGTATTCTTGCCCGGGAGTTGTGGATCTTGGTCGGCGGGTAAGGCCAACTTGTTGAAGATCCTATTGGGCTCAATAAAAAACTTGTCTCCTGCAGGGACTCTGGCGCGGCATCCTTCGCGGAAAGCCTCGAGGACTAAAAGACCGATTTGTCAATATAATTACAAGCTCGATTGCAGATTAATGGACTTACAGTTGGCAAGGAACTTTTCATTCTCAGTCAGGGAGTAGCATATGGTACAATCGGTGATATCCTTATCAGAGAATGTCGATATCCCACAAAAGTCATAGAGGTTCCTTCCGATAGGATCCTTTAGTTTGTATTGGATGGACTCAGATAGACCTTGACAGGTAACCTGGCATGGAGTTGATAATGACTGTAACACCGCAGGGAAGCCGTAGATACAAGCGGAAAAGGCATATCGCATGTTATCTAGAAATCACTTGCACGTTAGCTACCCACAAGTCTAATTCATTTCGCATGGTTATATTGGAACGGAACTTCATACATAGGCCCCATTTAACATCAGATTCGTCGTGAGGCACATCATAAAATGTACTTTGCAGTTCGCATGACACGCAGTCACGGAAACGACGTCCCTTGGCTGTGGACTCGAATTCATCATCATGACACACAATCTCAGAGTGAGTGGTGTTCGCTATCATGCCACCACAGACATCAGCGCATGGTGAAAATGGTGTGAAGCGGACTGCTGAAACCTCTTGCAGTAGAAGGGTAAACAGCGCAAGTATGGAGAGCAACATGGCAGAGTGTAGCCCGCTATCGCGGAAAACTCCAGTTGACAAAGGATTCAAGTCCGGTAAGAGTTTGTATGCATCAAACGGATTGGCAAAACCTCTCTATCCGTATAAAACCATCCGGGTGATATCCCTTTTCTGTCACGTTGACATAAAGAAAGCGTCTATCGACTTATCGATGTGTCCTATATACCTTTTTGGGGGTCACCGGTAGGTAGAGCAGACTTCCTAAGCTGTATATTGGCCCTGAAATCAGTCGCATCAGCACGCAACGTCCCGGGTGTCTCAAACGGAAGGGCGGGGCAGCACAAACCACAAAGTGCTTCTGGTGGTATGTGCTCCGCAAAGCGTCTCACGATGAGTCCCTTGAGATAAGTAAACGAGCAGGGCTAACGGTGCGTAACGGGAGCACTCTGGGATGGAAAGGCTGGCAAGAGACGGGGAAAACGAAGGAAGTCGAACAAAGCGTTCGAGTCCCAGCTTATGAACGATTCGACATTTGATGAAGAAAGGACAAGGGAAAAAGCAACCATACTTCAAGAGTATGCAGGCAGAATGGTTTCCGCAAGAACATGCATGAAGAGGTCAAAGAAAGGGACAAGCCAAATTGCCATCACAAGGGAGAAGAGTATCTGCAGGGTAAGCAGCTTGATCCCTTGCAGGAGAGGCCCTTCCCCCCCGCCAGCCAACATGGTTGAGTCTGGTCGATGCCGGCCAATCTGTCAGCTTTCGAGTTGGCCCGGCCGCCCTGGAGCGGTGATACAGAGTGTGATAGGATGTGATGTATCCCTGTCCGTCGAGCGCCATTGGACAGAGCTTGAGATGCAAATGCATGATGCGGGATCCACTGGACACTCATCCGCCCATGGCCCATTATTAGCCACCATCTGACGGGAGGTCTTGTCCTCGCTCCGCCATACCCCGACTTTTGTTTCTAAAACAGATCGGAGGCATCACGGAGCGCACTCTCTCTGCCCTAGGCTTTTCGCGATGTCTCTGCGGCCTGCGGCCATCTCTGTTCTCTGTTCGGGTGCCACTTAACAACCCCTAACTTTTCACCGTGTCTATTCTTCTAGACGACATCATTGACCCTCGCGAGGGCTTGACAGGGAAGAAGAGTAGCGAGGCTCAGTCCAGCGATGATTGGCCTCTTCGCTTGCCGAGTCCGAGTCTCTTCTTCGAACAAGGGGTCCCTGAGGCGGCCCATCCTTCTGCGATACCTCATTCGTTCGGTACAATGTTGTGCGATTCTCGTAAAGGTCGGCCAGCTGTGGTCGATGGTGAGCCCATCAAGCGGCCGCCATCGACCTTCCAAGCCCAGTATCATGGCTTCTCTCGCTTCTGCTGCTGTACAGAGTATAAAAACACCGTTTTTCGTCCCCAGTCCTGGGCTCTTCATTCTGTTGTTGATAGAAAGTTCAACTTTATGACGTCGCTCTAGTTAAGCCCCTGGATTACGTAATTGGCTAGGCTTAGCGGCCCCCTAAATAATAATGATAAATATTGCGCCCCGTACATGAGGACAGGCAGGATGGGCGAAAATCCCATGGAGAGAACACGGATTACTCTGGCAGAACCATCACATCACCTCAATAGGTGGGAGCTGTGATTGGGAGCCATGCTCTTGGGATGTCCATCTTCTCCTGTGGCGGCCAGGCGTCTCCCAGTTTTTATACTTCATGCTAAATAGCACGGCGCGTAGATGCAGTTCCATCCTTGTTCGCCTCCTCTTTGACTTTTGGACTGAGAAGCCGGCGAGCCGTGCGATTACAGAAGAGATTATACCCTAGGAGATGCGGCCCTGGGCAGAAGGACACTGCCTATGTATAGTTGAGTAATCAAACTTGCCCCTAGAGGTTCCGTTGGGATCCGTGACGGGTTACTTTACTGCGAGAGTACTGAATAACACGGTTCAATATTCTGCTGATGAAGGTGGAATACACTTCTATTGGAAAATATATCCTGTTTACCATGTGTTTTAAAGAATATTCTTAGGGTATATTATGAAGGGAACAATAAAACAGTAAATAGTGGACAAGGCGTTCAAAGACGCAGCCCATAGACCAACAAAAAAGCAGTTACATCATTAATATATAAGGAGGAAGTACTCGGGTATACGTATAATCATGAAAGAGCTGGCTTTATGCACAAGGGCAAGCTTGTTACTGGAGCTTGGGGCTCACAGGCAGCCCCATGCGACGCGGCTGTGGGCTATGAATCGGAAGTTGAGCTGGATGTGTGATAAAAGCTGGATGAGGAGCAACTTCAGCGGCATCTGAGCGGCTCTGTGGTGTAGTAGAGAGTTCGTCCTGGGAACGTTTTGCAACCGAGAGATCGGTTCTGGAGCCATGTGCCTGGCCGGCTTGCGTTTCCAGTATTTCGTCAGGTAGCATAAGCGTTCGGTAAACCTCTACGGGCTGGTAATATGCATTTGGTGGTTGGGGATGATAAGGGTGGTATCTGAAAGGGGTTGACGGAGCAGGAATTTGTGCCTCAGGCAGCTTGGGGCTGGTTGGGGTACTCGCTGCTCGAATCCCTTCCCGGTAAAGAGGATGACAAGGGAAATCAGGGTGGGTCGATGGTGAAGCTCCATTATTCTCGCCTCTCTGGCTGGCCTTTTCGCGCCAAAATAGCTTTCGGTACCACATTCTTTTGTGAATGATCAGATATAAAATAAGAGATATAACTGTTGCACGAGACAAATGAGCATCAGTCATTTCTAATAAATGGAGAATTCACCAGGACATACACAGAAGGGCCCCGAATCCCGCACAAAGTCCTATTAGAAGCTTCACCTTCTTCTCGAGATCAATAACTCCTTTCTCCCCTTTTGGCTGGTCTTTGATTGAGCGGAGGGTATATGAGGACGCTATGTCCGATCGTCTGGAAGGGTCTAAGGGCCTTGCAGATATGGCCTGTAGACAGATAAGAATGGGTATGGCTGCTGCTTGGGAAAAAACCAGGGTTCGTCGCATCATAGAATCGCATATGCAGGATGTTCGGTGCAAAAACACATTGTCTCATCAGCTTCGAGCCCGTGGTTATTAGTGAAAATGCAAGAGGATTGCTCGGCAGCCATGGGCACAAGCGCATCTTATATCCCAGCCAAAGAGGAGAAGGAAAACGTGGAATAAGAAAGAATATCATCAGATGGATGGAAAGAGGTTGTGAAAGGCCCAACAGCGATGGTGTCAATCCGGGGATGCATGCTTAGCTTGTGTAGTTTGGGGGCGAGATCAGTATAACCTTCCAATCGTATTCCGAGTCGTGGTAACCATCGAACAGCCCCAACCAACAGACAACGATAGAGTATAGTAACGAGTGTGCAATACACCTGCATGTTGAGAAGATTCGGGCAACCGAATATTTCTAGAACATCAGGTCTTACGCGGCGTAGTCGTTTGCCCCAAGCGAAAGGCAGCTGGTTAGTTAGAAAAAGGAGTTTGAAGATCTGCCAAAGCTGCATTCCCTGAAGGACAACTACACGGAAATTTCTCACACAACAGGAGACGATTAGCATGTAAATTGCCAAACTCGTCATCCTCCCTCGTTTATCTGTGGAAAAAAGCAACTCGGTTTGACAGACTCTGCATGGAGTTACTCCGGACGGCGCCGGACTCACTTTAGTCACAGAGAGAGATGCTGTTCTGGAAGATTTCCTCTTAGGGAGCATTGCCGATGGAGTACATGATTGGTACGGCCAACGAGACTCCCGGCAATCCGGTGAATAGTTGGCCATCTAGCTGCCAACATGGCCATTTTTGGGGGCAAACGGGCCAGACAAACGGGCCTAACTAATGCACACTCTGTGCCACCTTATCGAGTTTCCAGGTTACAACGCAGGTAGTCTGCAGCCCGACTTTGGTCGCTGCAAGCCAGCCACGTCTATATGGTTGACACGCATAACCAGAGAGAATGACCCTTTTGGATTTCCTTACTGGGGAATCGAAGTGAAGAAATCGATCTGCAGCCGGAGATCAAATGTCGAATAAGTTAGATAAGGCCAACTTAATCAGCCCTTGGAGAATTTTCGTGCTGGGAGTTGGACCTGCGCCCGGTACCAGAGGGGCGGGACTGCCGAAAGCCTGCGTTGAGCAGGGGAGCATATTCGATAGCGCGGCGCAGTGAAGTTTATGATCCATCAAGGCTGTGGTCGTGGTTGTAGGTGTGAAGCGAGGTATTAATATGTCACGGTGTTGTGCCAAACTCCACATATCCTTGTCAAAATTGGAGGTGCTCTGTACAGCCGAAGTAGTTATCCGACTAAGCTCATTTGTCGTACGACTTACCCTTTTGAGTTTCCCCCTGGTAATATGAATTAAGATGTGCATCCAAAAAGCATTACGTGCAGAATCTCACGTCTTTTTCGGCCTTAAGCCCTGTCGCGGGGCTAGCCAAACACTGGCTTCGCATCACTGTTGTCATAATTCATTGTATCTTCATTGATTGATCACTCACATCATTGCTGGCAATAATGCTAAATCCGTCCTTCTTCCTGGAGGGACTAATACCATTTTCAGTTCCTCACTCTCTTCTGTATGTAACCCCGTACCAGGAAAATCTTGCCCGGAGATGATGCATCTGATGAGACCCCGTCATTGACAGTTGGCTCAAACCTGGTAGAGATGCTAATTATTGATCATGTATGAGCACTTTACATCTCCTGGGGGAACTGCGCATCTCCCTGCGTGCCAGTCAATACTTGATTTCCAATTCCCAGTACTATGGATGTAGTGACACCAAGGGCACTGAATCTCGTCATTTTCTCGATAAGCACCAGGCTTACATGGCTCCTCATAATTCGTAAATATCATTCAATAACTTTTTCCCCAAGATAAACTAGAACCGGAACGGGCCGAGCCTAATTAGTTATCAACTTATCAACCAGAGTTCAAGATTTTGCAGGACACAACCCAAAAGTCAAAACTACTGTATTTCCAATGGCATCTTGAGGTGGTAGCTTTCACCTGTTGCCGAAATGCTGCAATGGATGGGTTCATCTCGCCTACCAAAGGGAGATTAAAAAAACCGTATCTCATGTCAGACATGAAGCGGCAAAGAGATCTGCAGTCAATAGCGCAGTTGACTGACGATGAATCCGTTGGTGGGTAGAAAATAAGGGTTGGAAAGTAAATAGTATAAAATGAAGCGGTATGAGAGAAGAATGACGTTTTAAACATCTACTTTTCCTTAATCCGGATATAAGGCACAAGACATTGCGGTCATTAGTCAACTAGTGGGATCGCAACGTCTCCTCAGCAGAATGTCTGATTGCCAGGCATGCTGGCATGTCACAGTGGTCTCCCGCCAGAGTATTCAGGGGGTCATAGCCCCCTTCATTCCTGGGGGATTTCCATTTCTCACAGAGCCTTCTAGAGAGTATCGGTCGGTCCGCACGAGCTAGATAGTTCATCTATAAATAACCGCAATCAAGGCTCATAAGATAAGGCGCACGAGATAGCCAATAAAGGCTGTTTCGGTCCTCCAGGTTGCCTTGCATAGTCATTTATTAATCTCTTTCGCTATGCAGTCTGAGGCCAACTATCCCAATATGCGGCATTAGCTTTATGTGGGGTATAGAAGCTTTCAGCGGCAGAAATAGGTTGCGCAATCAAGAGCAGGCCAGTTTTTGCCCTTGATGAATGTATTTCAAGATTATGATGGCATTCTGTTTGTATCCTGCACATGCTAGCCATGGTTGTTGTTTCCTGGTCTTTTCCTTGATGTTCGATATTACTAAGCGGTATCGACCAATAGTACAATTTTATATATGAACCAGTAGAAGTCTCCCAAGGTACATAAACGGCCAATACGCATTAAAGCTACTAGCTTATTTATTTTCTTCGATACGATTGGCTTCTGATACCGGCACCTTGTTTCTTCCTGATATCAAACCGTCAACATCACCCAGCAACAACTCGAACTCAACAGATGCCTTTCGAATCATGGGGCGAAAGGAAGACAACACGTTATTCTGGATGTATGTTCTCTCCTGCTTTGCCACTTAACGTCAGGCTGCGGAATTTAGGGTGTCATTCGCATCCTCAGGGCAAAAGCAACCTTATCTACTGGCTTGAGAGTGTGCTCACCCATATGAATATAACGGCTAACATGCTCGCTACTGTTGAGCAGGGTTCCCCTCAACACACAACCCATAACGGGTCTCTAGCTATAATTCAAGAAGTCCGGCGCGCGCAGACACGGGGGAGAAAAAATAGTCGAACTACTGAACACATACGTCTTCCTTGATACATCGGACCACTGCCATGGGGTTTCAAAAGATCGGGTGAAGCAACAGCTATTTTGCATTTACAAGGTTATCACCAAATCCCTCCAGGCGGACATGCCTAAGCTCCAGGAAAATCAATACATGGGCTAGCTACGCAAAAGAAGCCGGTGAATTCTCCTTAGGCAGATCCCTCAATCTCCCTTTGCTATAGGGTGAAAGTTGATTGGATATTGTTGATATCTGGTCATCAAGAAGCAGAAATCGGTAAGCTCCCAAGGGGGGAAAGGCTGGACCATTTTACTGGAGCTGCAAGTATTATATTTGGCAAGGAATATCGATTAGCCTGTCGCCTTACCCCGCGAGAAGCAGGCAGACGGCTAAGCTAGCGGGTGGGATTTCTCATAGAAATATTCACGTCATCAGCAGCAAACCTTGCTCATCATTCGATTGGACCAGGGCCAACGGATGGAGATGGGGGTGAAGAGGTCAAAGAGCGAACCGGTAAGGATGGCCTGTGAGTTTGACCCTGCATATAGATGATTTACAACTGTGGGTTCTCGTGGTAATCATGATACAGAAAATGTCTCCTTATACAAAATCATCTTCCTCTTGCCAAAGCCTACGCACTGCAAAGGACGCTCTACCATATTCTCTAGCTCTAAGAGCTTATGGCTTCCAAGCTCTTGTCCGTCTCTCAGCTACTGGCAGGGACAGTTAAAAGACGCAGAATAAAATGAGAGGTATTTGAAAGTACCGAGATTTCATGATTTTCCCCAACCCTGTCCAGCTAAAGCTTTCCCTCGAATTTCCGTCTGAGCGAAAAAGAAACGAGCATGGCCAACAAGGACTGGCCATCCAAAGAAATCGCCATGTTTGTCCCGACAGTTTGGTTCGCCCCTTTTATCCCAGTCCAAGTCCCCCTCAGTTCCACCTATTTCGTTGTTGCACTACTTGTTAAGCAGAGCGGCGAAGTACCGCTCTCCAAAATCAGGTCACGAGAGGCTATCGTGGCTCCTGCTGTCTCGGTGTGCCAGCAGATGATTAGCTATGTCTAACGGGAACGACGCTGTGGTTACTCCATACATATTAGAAAGCTACTTGCTTATCGGAACACTCTCGCAAGTGTTACCGTATCTCGTGCTACAAGTTGACTCAACCTGTCATGCACGAACGGATTGGTCCAACTACCCCTGTCTGGCTTGAAATCCATGTTACCTGGTCCAAATTCCTCTCTTTTCCATTTTTGTCTCTTGCTCCCGATGAATAACCGATATACGTAAAAATTTCCCCCCATTACGGGCGTGCCACTACGTATTCATATATTTCCTGGCTTCTCGACTTCTTGCGCTTTATCCTGGGGAACCCTGGGTGCTAGCTATGTATGAAAAGAAAAATCTGGATGGCACTCACTTGACGAATCATATTCTTACGGCCATTCGCACATCCTTCTCTCCAGTCATGGTTCAAAGGGAGCCACGGAGGAAATTCGTATAGCCAAAGATCTGATTTGTTGCTAATCCATGTCTTCCGGCAATTGAAGGTGATTTCAAACAGGCCTGTTCTGCTCCGTCAGGTGATAGTTAATCCAATAGAAGATGCATGGCTGCTTTACTAAACGCCCGATGTGTTATGAGCCCCCTGTCTTGATATATTATTATATAGCATGCTTACCAAGTGCACCCATACACCCATACACATACATGATGCTTGCCAGCATGCTGGACGCAATCTGCCCCTACCTTGATGGTTGGGGTTGATTGCACATGTACAGCCCGCTTCTTCCAGCCGAGGGTACAGAGCATCCGGTCCTGTGTCATTTAGAGTATGCATGTCTTGCACGACTAACTTGAAGGTCACCCGAGTCACGGTGATGTTCCGTACCACAGACCAGCACCACCACTTACCCCATGCTTAGCAGGAGCAGAGTTTGGGCAGGCTTAGGGAGTCGAAAGCTCTCTCATGAGCTTAAGCTAATCATTAGAGTTCCATCATGAGTGTTTGATCGATGGGATTAAGTTGCGCCAATAGTGGTTCATCAAGTTATTTATGTATTCTGCGTTGAGACGACATATGTGTGTAGCTTGGGTTGATATATCCGATACATAAGAAACCGTAGAAAATAATAGGAAGAATGAAAGGTATTTCCCCCAAAAAGGCATTCCCGAAACACCTAAATTCCCGCCAATAAATAAAAACCCAAGCTGTCCAGAGGAAAAGAAACGTCAAAGGAGAAAGTTTTTCCAGTGTAGGATATAATCTTGCATCAATTTTAGAATCGAGGGTCAAGTAATGGTGAAAAACGGAAAAGAGTAAACTGGATCGCAACAGACCGGTTGTCATTAAAGAGCTTTGAGAAAAGCCTTATTGTAGCAATTTTCATGGGAGTCGTAAGATTAAAGAAGTCCAAATTTGACATGTTCCCCTCGACCGGCCCCCGGAAAACCGATTCTTCAGCCAAAAAGGTCGTTCGTAGACGGTACCATTTCAGAAGTCACTACTCGTTTTGGTTTGGCCTTTCGTTTCTTTCGGCTTTGTTCTGACGGAGCAGGGTTGGAGGGTAAATATGTTGGCACAGCGGCGGTGTCTGATATTATGGATCGAGGAGATTTCTCGACGTCCATTGGAGACACATAGCTGCTGCAGTCTTCATCCCTAGCAGATGAGTTTCGCGCTGACGTGCTGTGGTTTGTAGCCGGAGTTCGCTGGTCAAAGTAATGTTCTGTTGGGCTGGAGGACTTGTTGGAAAGGGTTTGATTAGCAGGAGACTGACTGCGTGTCGAGAAGTCTTGATGGAATGGGTGTCGTGGGATCTCTCCAGGAAGTGTTGGCTCTAAAGAGCTATTGCTTTGCAATGAGGTATGGCGATTGTTAACAACGGAACGGGTCATTTCAGAAGAATAACGTCCATTCTTCGGCTTCCCTAGCTCGGCCATAGTCTTCAGGAATTCACCACTGGCAGGTTTGTAGACAAAGTCGGCTTTGTCCTTCGTTGTTGAAATCATTGACGAATCCTCCTTACCTCCTTTCCTAGAATCTAGCAGCTCATTATTTTTTTGAGACCCGAAACCACGAGGGGAATATCTCCAGGGCTTTGAACGGGTCCGTACGAGGTCTCCCCCGGAGCTCCTAGCAGGTTGCTCGGATATGCCATTTGTCGATGGAAAGCCTGTTTCCTTAGCGTCTGCTGACGGTGATATTTGATTCCATCCGCCTTCCATAGGGCCACTGATCGCGGGATCTCCAAATCGTTCATCGAGGGGTCTGGGTGCTTTCTGCGACCTCCGCTTCAATATTGGCCTATCTAGGCAACACCGCACCCAAGACATTGTTATATTGCTAATAGACGGTGCAGCTCCTCGGTGAGGGTGGTATAAAATTTGAAACTTTCAAAGGGCGAGAGAAAATAAAGAGGTGTTTATGGAAATAATAAAACAGCTAAGCAGTGCTCAGCAAGCGTACATCACATCATGTAATGAGAAGCGAAGAGCGACATCCGTGCTAGTCCAGACAGAGAGTAGACAGGTAGAAGTAAACCGCGACGACCAGTGACCGATGACTGGGGCAGGAGGACGTATATGAAAGGACGGGAAGATCTCCAGGCTACCGTCAGCCAACGAAACTTATAAGACACACCAACAACCAGGGCCGGGAAAGAGGCGTAAAAGACCAACCAAGCACCGGGGACTGGGGGCCTTGAGGTGGGAAAGCAATGTACACAGGTAACACGTAAAAGCACTGGGTAAGATTGACAAGCCGGAACTGGCGCCAGGTGGTGGGAGGCGTGGTAGTCAAGCAAGTCAATACTTCCTACGCCGCCGAAAGGGCCGGGGGGAGAAGACACGGCCCGAAGCTGTTTGACGGTGTAAGAAATAAAGGACGGTGAGTCCTGTATCAACGCAAGCCCATGAAGGAAATTCTGCTATTCCTTTGGCGTCGGGAATGGTTGTTTCACGACATAAGACGGTGTTTGCTCCCAAGAATGTACCAAAGTAAAAGAGACAAGAGAGAGAGTAGAAGGTAAAGAAAAAGAAAAGGAGTAACAGCCGGATAAAGAAGAAGGGAAGAAAGAGATAACTAAGCCTACTGACGTTATCGTAGACGCGGCTCCCTCTGAGTTGAAAGGGAGGGGGATGCCTTTGGTATGTCACCGACGAAGTATATATTCCCCAGTCATAACGCTATGCTCTAGGCTACGAGCCTCGCGCTTGCTAGGGAAACAGGAACGATTTCAAGGAAGCAAGGGAGAAGAAGCAGGGTCCAAAAGTATACTCCACAGGAAGTACATCAAGAGCTACGTATGTATGTATATTATCCCACACCCGTCAGGGCTATAGATGCGGGTGTATGGAGTACATACATACATACGTAGCGTATAACTAGCATATCGCTGGCGTTGTCTTTAGCTTAAGCGGGCGAGTCGCCCATGACACTGAGAGTTGACGGCCAGAGAAGGGAAACGCTTGATCAGAAGTCAGAGGCTTTTCATCTCCGTGAGTCCTCATAAATCACCCTGCATGGGGCTAGGGCATATCAAGGCTCAGTGATGAAAAGTGTTTATGCACAACTGGTTTCGGGGCCAGGATCTGCTTGAAGGCGTCATGCAAATGGACGGGGCTGGAGTACAGAGGACAGGTCTGCCCCAGACCCGGCCTTTTCGTCTCTGGCTGCCTGAATAAGGCGTTCAAGGAGGCTCAGCAGCTGGTTGGTGGCGTAGGCGGTTTTGTCGAGAAAAGAGCAAATATCAGCTGTTCTCGCCATGCCGGTGGACAAGTACTTCAAGTACCGCAGTATAGAGTACTTGTTGAACAGCCCAAAGGGGACTTTTTTGACGTCAACTGTGGTGTGGTAGCCCGGCACACACCAAGGGATAAAGGATGGCAGAGATTTGGCCTGGCTTAGGCTGTGGAGCCCCTGCTGGCGGCTAGACATCGAGGCCAATCAGCACTGCCAGTTTATCTCGCTTTTGGCCTCCAGCTTTTTGCCGTTTCCCTTCTGTCGGTGCTGTGTTTCAATTCCCTCTGGCCCCCAAAAAACACCGTGCAGATCAGCCTGGGAGAAGGGGAAACGAGAGAAGAAGCAGGCAGCAGCAAGTGAGAAAAAGAAACCTCCCAAGACGCACCATCCATTCGGAGGGTTCCCTGCGTCGTAACATTTCTTGGAGCTTCCCGTATTTTTCTGAACCCGTTTTCAGCACACGGCGTTTGTCAGAGACCTCGATACCTCCGTCGGAGGATCACAAGAATATGGCACAACCAGCCCTCTATCAATAATAGTTCGTATGCTCCTCCCTCTAGACCTTTGTCAACCGTGGGGAAGATGAGGAGACGAATAGATTCTAGGCTTCACATGCATCCATATATCCTCCTCGTCCGTGAGAGAGGAGACAGAGCCGGGGAAATGGGAGAGCAACAGGCAGGTCTCTCGTGTGATGGGAATCCAACAAATATCAAGGGGCGATGATTGGACTGTCTTTCAAGGCCCATGTCAATATTCGAAAGCTGGATTAACCCACGAAGCTTTCCGCCGAGCCCATGACATGACATCCACAATGCTTTTTTTTTCTGCTGCCTCTTTGCCTTTCGTTTCTTTCTCCCTCGATCATCCGAAAATCGCGGGCGGGAGAGGGGCTTTTGGGTCAACTGGTGCAAGCGACAGGGAAGCCCGGGGACTGCCTCCTCCTAGGAGCCGCTTCTTCTGGGCCCGGCATCTCAAGCATGTCAAGTTCGTCGTTTGGCCAGGGTTTCAGGCGTTAGTTATCAAGTTAAGGTTGAGCTCTGTCATGCTTCGATCTGCCATTTTGTTCCAGCAGCCGCTTCATGGTAGTATATTTTTTTTAGCCAGTAAAGATGGTCTGACAAGTCAGTTTATAGAGATGGCCATGCTTTTGAGAATAGATGTGCCATGCAGTGAGGCCTTTTTTCTGTGGCGAAGTTGACTGCGCACTTATACTACAGGTCCGAAGAGCAGGAGGCAACCGATGGCCACCCACAGAGCCAACTAGCTGGCGCCTTTGTCCCTGTGCCTTTGTCTATAGGGTGGTACTCCGTACAGGAGATCGGAATCCTCGGTACTGAGAGCGAAAAAGAAAGACCACCAGTCATGCTCCGTGTTTGTCTCCCAACCTTTCGCTCCAGGGCCGGTCGATCCATAACATTTTCGAAGCAACCACACTCTGTCTAGGCTGTCCAGGTTATTCGCAAACGGCCAACCCGTAAATTTCATGAATGACTGTTATAATGCTTGATGACTTCGGATCGAGAACAGATGATCTTGTACTTCGTAAGGGCACCATCAACCAGTCCTTGACCACTGACGCATCCCCGGAACATATTAAAACTATTCCAGTTCCCCGTCGATAACTCAAGTTGCCGTGCGGAGTAAGCAGCTACAAATTAGAGCAGGACAATTTCCAGCATCACATACGAACCGTGTCTCAGGCCTTCAGTGAGAGAGCAGGCCCTCCGTAGACGGTGAAAGCTCCTGATATTGATGGGTGGCAGCAAGTGTCCTCCTGTCTGTTTGATTTGCAACTGGCTGGCTGAATCCCCTTCTGGCCTGGAGGAGATCCCATGCCAGCCACCAGCAGGCTCTTCCCCTAATTGCAGACATGGAGGCCCCAGTAACAACAATAGGGGTTGCTACATGTGGTCAGGCGGTTTGCCTATTGTCCAGACTGCTGGGTCAAGAGGTCCCTATTCGCGCAGAAGATCGGCCGCCGAGTCGGTGAAGGCGTTAAGGAGTTGGGTATCGATATTGGATGCGTACTTTTGGCCAATAACCCTGCGAGATGTCACATCTTTAAAAAGCCATTGATGGCATTTTCCGAATCTAACGGGATAGTTAGCTGTCAAGATGTAACTTAGTCGGCTTGTAATAGCAGCCAACTTGGTTAAATAACAGAATTCTCCCGACTAACGCAACAGCACGAGATGTCCAGCATCCCCACCCACTCGAAGCTCAGTAACTATGCAGATCGACGGCTTTTATCCAGGGCTGAGCTGCGGACACCACAGCTAATTTACTTTTTAATTTCTACCCTCTAAGAAGTACTCCCCCTTATCCCCTAACCCTCCCTTACCCTCCCTAACTAACCCCCCCCTAAGGCCTAACCCTAACCCTACCGTAAGTCTTAAGGTAAGAAGTATAGAGAGGTAACTAGTAGTAAGGGTAAAAGAGTTTATAAAGAGAGAAGAGAAGAAGTACCTTTATACCTAAATAAGCAGTTAGTAGTTGTACCTTGGAAAGCACCGATAACTAGTTAACTACCTAGTTACGCACGCCGCACTTTCCAGCAGGGAGTAGATCTTTATCTACGGTAATAAAATCACCGGCAAGCAACGCATGAAAGACAAGAAATCGTGCATTATTATTGAGGTTTGGAGCATCATTAGTTAGCCAACCAATCAAAGCAATCAACTAAGTTAAGTGTGTTAATAGGCGATTTGATTACTCCGTACTCTGACAGATATCATGAACAGAAAATATAGCTAGTTACTTGGTAGTTGATTTTGGCCATTATTGAATTATTAGCCTAGTTCAGCAACACCGCTATGATGTGATTCGGGATACGCCTTAGTCATTCCCCCCGTGTGCGTATAGTAAACGGCCTTGATCTCCTATAGTTCGAGTGCTGATTTTAATAACTAACTAGTTTATGTCCTTTATGGCTCCGTGTTTAACTTCCGTAATCAAATATTGAGTTACTTTATCTAGATATATTAATCGCAGGCAACCTGTCCTACTGGATGAAATTCCGCGTTTGGCTGGGGGCAAAGCTATATGGGGAATCGAGGTCGCCAAAGGTATACTATATTGGGCCGCGAAAGATCTTAAGGGTATGCTGCCACCGCACGGAGCTCGAGGCAATGGAGTACGTTCGAAAACACACGACAATTCCAATTCCTACGGTGTACAAGGCATATGGAAAGGGCGACTATCAGAATTCGGGATATGACCATCGATTGGGCAGCCGACGATTTGGACCATTCAGTCTCGCAGAGTTTCATAAATTTGTGCGACGCGACGTGGATTTGGAGAGCTAGGAGGCCCGCGACGAAATTGTGGCTCGAGTGCATGGCCGGGCGGACAGTTAACTACTCTACGAAGTTCACTCACGCGGACTTATCGCCGTCAAACATCATGGTGAAGGATGGAAAGATCACAGCGATTATCGATTGGGAGTTCGCAGGTTGGTTTCCAGAGTATTGGGAGTACACCAAGATATACTACGGCTTTCGAGAGTTTCGGAAGGATTTCTACAGCGAAGTAAAGCATTTCTTTACAACTTACCCGGAAGAGCTCGACGCTGAACAGGCAATATGGGTGATCACCGGGCCATTCGACTACGACCCTGTCTGGACAGTTGTTACGGCTGAGCAACAGCGCCTTGAAATAGAGGTAAAAGCACGGGCTAAACCCGAGATTGGAAATAGCGAAGCCTAGGATCAGAGGAAATATGATGAACCCGATGAACCCGGCCCCTCAGCAGAAATAGTTGGATTGCCCCAATTCGCAACCTGGCACTGGGCGAACTCGGCGGATTTCAGGTTCGGATTCTAGCTCCATGTGGCTTCCTGGAGCTAATATTTATAGAAAATCTGATTTTACTAGGAAGCGACTTCTGGCCGTTTTTATTTATAAGCTACTATATGATCCACACTCTTATCGAGCCATTTCTTACCGGGTTATAGACAAGCAACTTATAGAAATGGGAGGAGGACCTGGGAGGACTAGTAATTACTAACGATCTGTTTATTTAAAAAGAAAAGGGGGGGGGGGGGGGGGGAGAACTTTTTGAAAATTAGTAAAAAAAAACTTAATTCTGATTAGTTAAACCATTTTTTAACTATTAATAAAGTTTAAAGGGGGGGGGGTGGGGGCAAAATTTAAAAAATTCCCCCCCTATAGGGGGGGGGGGGGGGGGGGGGGGGGCACTGCTATAGAGAAACGTAGGTTAGAACCTCTGACAAAGTGAGAATAATTTCTCTATCGTTATTTAAACTATTAGAAAAACGAGAATACTATAATATAAACAGCCATTATTATATACTCTGATAGCTAGCCTCTCGCGCAATCCACTCCTGAATTGCCCTTCTCATCCGAGGTTCAGCCTCATGCTCGTGCCAGAAATGGCCAGCTCCTTTGACCATGACGCTATCAAACCGGGAGTCTTCAAGCTTTTTCAGTTGGTCACTCCAGCCCATAAGCTTCTTAGAAGATGTAAAGCCATCATTTTCTCCAAATATTGCTAGAGTTTGGTGTTCTAAGACTTTATCCTGCAGGTCTGAGGGAGGGAGAGTGTTTCCATTTATCGTTACTGTTAGTTTAGAGGCTGGTAGAAGAAGAGATGTAGCCGTGAATAGGGTGATTGGAGGCAGAAGAGGAGAAATAAGAAGGTAAGAGACGTTAATCTCCTTTATTTTGGTAATTGTTGTACCGGAGCCCGATGAACTGGATTCATTGGAACAACTATGCACGCGGGCCTCCCGGTTCTGTTTCGAGGACAAGCTCCGTGCTTCTTGTAAGACTTTGTAAGCAGGTTCGTTCTGTTTCGGCTCCTGAAAGGTCGATAGGATAACTCTTGAGGACGGTGAATACCGTGCTAACATAGAGCCATATGAGTACCCGGATACTATGATTGAAGGGCTGGGGCTGTCTTCCATCAAGGAGGCATCATTTTCAGCAATGGTAGAATCGTGCCCCAAGAATGGATCCAAGCCTACGATATAGTGTACCAGGAAGAGATAAAACGAGATAAAATCGCCAAGTTCAGGTTTGGCTGTCCAGCTTGTTCGCCCTTGTGAGCCACCAGCACCCCTATACAAATTAATCAATATTCTCGTAAAAATGAGTGGTTACAGCTGGTACAGATCGAGTATACCTAAGATTGAACGTGCCTACAACATATCCCGCTCGCAATAGCTCACTAGCGACAACTGCTATAACGGGATCATCGTAGCAGCCTCCAAGAGGAGCATATGGATGGGCTATCATTGCACCCTTTCTTTTGTATACGGGGTTTTGATCCGTGCCCTGGGCATAATTTGGGTGATATATCCTACACTGAAGTAGGACACCATCGTATACTGATGGTATCTTGAATTGGTGGGTAGGTTTTGGTAAAGCCATTCTCACAATAATTGGTATTCCGCTATGTATCGCGCAAATAGATTACAAAACCGTTTATAAAAGGCCGTTGAACCCTTGCCGAAAGCTAAAAAAACTGTTTGTATGAACTGTGGAGGGCGTCGATATCAAGATGTTGACGTTCCAAGGACCAACGGCGGAGGCTGGTTCCACGTGACACTTCGAATTCGTGGCCCCTTTACTAGATCTAGGCTTCATGGCAAACAACGTGCAAAGAGAAATATGTTACAACGGCTCGTTTGAGTCATGATAGACTGGTTAATAGAAAATAAACTCAATTAGGTAGCCTGAATATCATCAACCAAGTTTAGCACCGATCTGCTTAATACACAAATAATAAAAATATTATGGCGAGAGCAGCCAGGCAGGGTCTGGTTCGTCATCGCTATCATCCATATTGCGCGATACTGGTGGGGTTGATGGACAAGCATTAGCTTGGTCTGTAGTATGTACAGTCTCATCCAGGTCCCCTTTTTGTTCTGGTTCGAATCCTGGTTCTAGCTCTGATTTTAAGCTATGTTCAGGAGGTCTGTGTATTTCTGGTGAAAGAGAGCCATCTCCTGATGGAGCATGTGACGCAAGTAAGTCATCGGGAACTTCTCCTACCATGGTACCTTCACGGTCGACTTCTGGGGTTTGATGGCGGAGTTTAAACATGCTAGAGAACCTGGTTCTAGCCTCATTGAACGCCTCGCGTTCAGCACCAATGCTGCAGATCAGTAGCGACCATTTCTTTTCTTCTGCCAAATGTAGGTATTCATCAAGCTTGTTTAGAGTAGAAGTCAACATTTTCTGTACTTCGGAAAGTTCTGTCCTCTCAACTACGGCAGGCTTTGCTGATTCGACAGAATAATCTTCCTCTCGAAGCTGATTAAGGGTATTTCGCAAGGTGGTTTCAGTCTTCGTTACAAGCAAAATAGTATCGTTCCATATCTGCCCACCCTCTTCTAGCGCTTCAATCTCATGATCGGTCGTTAAACTGCGCTTTTCGAGAGATGATAACTCTTGTGTCCAGTGCTCTTCAGCCATCTGCAGAGTTCGCCTGTTAGGCTTTAATGAAAAGAACGGCGTCGGAACCGAATCACTGTGAAGGGGGGCGACGGGCGGCGTTTTTAGAAACTGCTCAGAGTCTTTCTTAACAAGAGAAAGAGCACCTTCATAAGATGACAGTTTAGCATCCACGGAACTTTGACGTTTGGTTATTTCGTCTATCATGTGGCGACGGCGTGACTTCATCTCTGCAAGCCGGGACTCGACCTCCTTTATTTCGCCCTCCAGTTCGCGAAGTTCGTTTGAGAGTGTTTCCACATGTTTCTGCTGGCTACCGGCTCGCATCTGAGAAATATGTTTCTCCAAGCCAGCCTGTTTTTCCATGAAAGTTTTCACCTTATCTATCGCGTCTTTCCTGGCATACATCTCAGAGGTAAAGATATCCCGCTCCTCTTCCTTCAAACATAAAAGAAGATGGATCGAGGCGGAGATCCCTTGACGCACATTTCGGAGGGTGGGCGGTTTTTTTCGAGGTTGCCGTACTGGAATGGGCATCGTTTGCTTGCGACCTGAAGTATGGGACGTGGTAGGAGTCGAGCTCCTCGTTGAAGGGGTATTCGTGGGCGAATCAAGGGGTTGTCTGACAATTAAGATGCGGCTTTGAGCATCGAGGAGTTCTTGTAATTCGCTCTGTAATTGCCGAGATTGCCGTTCTATATGAATTAAAGGCTCCGAAGGAATATTGCAGACTGAAAGCGGTATTGGCCGTAGGACCTTAGGGTTAGCAGACGGCCATATCGACATTTTGAGCCGAAGAAAGCCTTTAGGACTGTGTTAAGGTGTTTTCTGTTGCCGTAAAGCAGGCGTTCTGCGAAATTCTGTCGCTAAAGAGGCCAGCGACTCGTAGGGCAGGCTAGAAGAACGAGCGTAACAAGTGATAAACAGTATTGTTAACGACTGAAAGGATGTGATTGTTCGAGGTAGAATAGTCAATCCTAGGAAGCTGTGCAAGCCGGTTAGCAGATGAGTAAAATAATATATACATAGAGGCTGCAGCGCCAATACTGCGGTCTATGGAGGCGTATCGCGTGAAAGGTGCAGGTGCCTCGTACAAAGTTCAAGCATGCTGTCATAATTGGCTACCAGTCAACTGGATGGGTGAATGTGTGTTTAACAGGGCAGATGACAGAAGTGCCACTAGTTAAGGAGCGCTAAATATACAAGTCGAGTTTAGCTGTTCAGTTCAGTTACTAAGGTTGGTGTTCCGTCACTTTATTACAGAGTCCATCGAGAAGCGACGGATGGGGCGCTTAGATAGCCGCGCGGCTCAGAATTAAGCGCACACGGCATTTGATTAGCCGAAGCAATCAACGAGATACAGATTTGTCCTGAAGATATAAATGCTTCTGTCCATCTTTCATTTCCCAGGCTAACTAGCAAGAGTTAAACCTGATGTTTATTGGTTGGAGAATGCGCACCTAGTTTCGATATAGACACAGTTGTTGATGCTAGAGGTAGATATAATACAAGTAAGCAGAGCAGAAGTTGAGTACCACATATAGAGGTTAAAAGAGTTTATATACTCATTATTCATTACTGTCGTCCTCGGAGTTTAGATACCGGTGCTTGTTGTGTAAAGGATATATTAGGCGCTACCTCTGCCGATACCGGGCTAAGTATGAAGGCGAGTCTACTTGAGCCGCTGCCAATACCGATTAATAATCAATGTCACGTGTCGGGTTGACGATGTCTTCCTGTGCTGCTTCTGACAACAAACAGCATCGAAACACATCAGATCTCAAGGCATCACCACGGTCCCTTTCCCCGTTCTTCTTTTCTTTCTCGAATGTATTGCTAGGATTTTGCTTCCCTTGTATCCGTTTTTTACCTCCGGCTCCTTTACTCGACTGACTACTCTGCTCCCTTAATCCACGAAAATCCGACTTCAGCCTGAAGGCCAGACAGCCGCGCATCCCGTAACGGAGCTTGAACCGGCAGCACAAACCTTCCCTTTGACACAAGGCGCGCGTCTTAGAGCACTATTTCACCATGGTTGGCCTGGCCTCAGCTGCGGGATTGGTGGGGTTCCTTTCCGAGCCGGATACCGAGCTTAAGGTCTTTGCTCTTAAGGCTCTTGACGCCCAAGTTGATCTTTTATGGACTGAGATCGCTGGATCTGTCGGGCAGATGTATGTTTTCCACTTTCGTTTAACGATCTTATCTTAATGGATCTTGGTTGCTAATCGAGCTCGTGGAACCTAATAGAGAAGCTCTGAGTGAAGATGAGTCTTTTCCTGAACGCGAGCTTGCGTCTCTCGTCGCTGCCAAGGTATACTATCACCTACAAGAGTATAGCGAGAGTATGGTCTTTGCCTTAGGAGCTGGCAACCGGTTTGATATTGAGAATGGCGGCGAGTTTGAAGAGACCATTATCTGTATGTCAGAGTAACCACAGCCTTAAGGCTGGCCTGGGTTTTACCGGATGAACTGCTAATAAGGGAACTCATAGCAAAATGCGTGGATACTTTCATTTCGACCTGTTCGATGCTCAAGGCTTCACAGACTACAGGACGAGGTGGTGCTTCCCAGTTAAATACCTCTTTCCCAAGGAATGAAGGAGGTGTCTCGAGCACATCTGCTGGTTTAAGTTCCCCAATCACTCCATTTTCGCAGTCCGCATTACCTTCGAAGTCTCTCCTATCGCGCCCCGAATCGTCTGCGGAAACCAGCTATCCCGTCGGCGAAGACCGTGGCAGTGGTAGGGATGACGTGCCTGTGATACTTCAGCGAGGAACCCAAAGACAACTACAAAATATCATCAAGCGGCTCTTTGACCGGTGCTTCGAACAACAAAGATATCGACAGGTCATAGGTATCGCTGTCGAGGCTAAAAATCTTGACATCATTCGAGTAGCCATTCTACGGGCCGCTCATGATGCCAAGGAACAAGGTGTTGAACCATCGAAGCGAGGAGAGGAGCTGATGGAATATGTTCTGGGCATTTGTATGAACGTAGTCCAGGAACGGGGCTTTAGAAATGAGGTTCGCAAGCCTGAATACCATCAAAAAGCGAATTACCCATTTGACAATACTGATGAGACCTTTAGATCCTTAAACTGATCCTCGAGCTCTTAAACGAAATACCTTCACCCGACTATTTCTCCATTGCAAAATGTGTTGTCTACCTGAATGAACATTCGATGGCATCTGATATCTTGCAAAAACTGGTGGCGAAGGGTGACGCCAGGTCTCTGGCTGTAGCTTATCAAATATCCTTTGATCTGTACGACAACAGCACCCAGGAGTTCTTGAAGAAGGTGCGCCAGGAACTTTCGGCCGCTATCGCTGAGCCCAAAGAGACGGATTCCGCGGAAAAGAGGGAACAGAAACCGAAGGAGTCAAAGGAAACTGATAAACTATTGAGCGATGATGAAGAAGAAGATGATGATGAGGACGAGGACGACGAAGATGAGGAGACTTCTCCAGCAAGAAGAAAGTTCACCGACGAAGGACGAGCCTCTCTAAAATCCATTCGAAGCATCCTAGATGGTGCTAATTCTATCCAACTCAACCTTGAGTTCCTATACCGAAACAACAAAGCTGATATCGCCATTTTGGATAAAATAAAGGACAGCCTGGAGGCTCGAAACTCGATATTCCACACTGCAGTAACTTGTGCCAATGCTTTTATGCATGCTGGAACAACCCATGATAAGTTCTTTCGCGACAACCTGGATTGGCTAGGCAAGGCAGTCAACTGGTCCAAGTTCACTGCTACTGCCGCTCTCGGTGTCATTCATCGAGGTAATCTAACTCAAGGCCAGAAACTCCTTGCACCATACCTACCCAAGGAATCTATGGCAGGTGTTGGCAATTCCGGGTCTGTTTATAGCCAAGGCGGTTCACTGTATGCATTTGGTTTGATATATGCTAACCATGAAGGTTGGGCCGTGGACCATATCCGTGAGCATTTCAATAAGGCTACCGAAGAAGTAGTACAACACGGAGGTGCTCTTGGGCTGGGTGTTGCAGCTATGGGAACTGGGGATGAAGGAATCTATGCCGATTTGAATAAGGTTCTCAATGCTGATTTGGCTCTAAATGGCGAGGCAGTTGGCCTTGCTATGGGCCTTGTTATGCTGGGAACCGGAAACATGAAGGCGCTGGAAGACATGATCCAATATGCTCACTTGACTCAGCACGAAAAAATCATTCGTGGTCTCGCTATGGGCATGGCACTGATCATGTATGGCCGCCAAGAAGCTGCAGATGAGTTGATACATGGACTCCTAGGTGACCCTGACCCTACGCTTCGATACGGTGGAATTATGGCGATTGCACTGGCTTACTGTGGAACTGGAAGTAATAAGGCGGTCCGCAAGCTCCTGCACGTTGCTGTTAGTGATGTTAGCGACGATGTCCGCCGCGCTGCAGTCATGAGTTTAGGATTCATTCTGTTCCGCAAACACCAGAGCGTTCCTCGGATGGTTGAGCTTCTCTCCGAATCTTACAACCCTCATGTCCGATATGGTGCTGCTATGGCTCTCGGCATCTCATGCGCCGGAACTGGTCTAGATGAGGCTATAGATCTTCTGGAGCCTATGTTGAAGGACCCGACTGACTTCGTCCGCCAGGGTGCACTGATTGCTCTCTCCATGGTACTTGTCCAGCAAAACGAGGCAATGAATCCCAAGGTTGGCACCATCCGCACGGCAATGCAAAAGGTGATTGCCGACCGTCATGAAGATGCCATGGCCAAGTTCGGCTGTGCTCTTGCTCTTGGAATCATTGATGCCGGTGGCCGGAACTGTACCATTAGCTTACAGACCCAGTCCGGAAACCTCAACATGCCCGGAGTTGTGGGAATGGCTGTCTTCACACAATATTGGTACTGGTTCCCGTTGACCCATTTCTTGTCTCTCAGCTTCACACCTACTGCTGTTATTGGCGTGGACCAGAAACTGGAAGTCCCAGACTTCAAATTCCACAGCAATACTCGCCCAAGCCTTTTTGACTACCCCCCCGAACAGCAGGTAAAGGCAGATGAAGCCCCGGAGAAGATCAAGACTGCAGTTTTGTCCACCACTGCGCAGGCGAAGCGACGAGCACAAAAGAGGGAGAAGCAACGGAGTGGAAGCATTGATATTGAACAAACACCAACCACTCCAAAGTCCGCCGCCCAACAGCTTCCAGAGAAAATGGATGTCGATGAAGCCCCCAAGGCGGAAGAATCAAAGGCCAGTGGCGACAAGGAGGCAGCTGCCGAACCCAAGCGGAAGCCTGAGAAGGAGAAGGTTGGCTACGAGATATCCAACTTGTCGCGAGTTCTTCCTGCTCAAGTGAAATATATCTCTTTCCCCGACCAGAGATATGAGCCTGTCAAGAAGGTAAGTAGACCCGTTCTCTGAAGATATTAAGATTACAAACAAACTGCTAACTTTTTGACTTTTAAAGGCCACTGGAGGAGTTGTCGTTCTTCTTGACAAGAAACCCTCTGAGCCACGCGATATCATTGAGTTGAGTGCCAGCAAGGAGACGAAGCCAGCCGCCACCGCCGCGGCTGGAAGCAGCCAGGCCAACACTGTCCAGAGCCGCCTTAACGCTGCTCTCCAGGGAGCTGCTCAGGCCGCCTCCGCGGCCGCTCCATCCACTCCTGCCCGTCCAGGCGCTAGTAGCGGCGCTGCAGCCGCTGCAGGTGTTCTTACCGCTGTTGATGAGGACGAAGAAGGAGTTGAAGAAGCTCCGGTGCCAGACGACTTTACATATGAAACCGAAGGAGAGGATGAAGAGCTTTAAAGCTGCAGCCTCTCCCTTCTCTCCCTCTTTTTCTACACTTCCTCAACTTCCTTTGGCTCCTTGTGCATAGCATACACCGGGTTGTATCCCTAACACAACCATGTCCTGTACTCTAGCCCATATTCGACCATCTTAATCTAAACTGTTGTACAACGAACTTCGTACTGCTCTTCGGCCTTGTATCTCCTTTTGATAGCCTGAAAAGGGAAGTAGAAAAAGAAAAAAAGACGCGCCAACTTGAGCCGAGGTATATGACCCCGTGATTACGCTTAGTCATGGATGCTGCGGCTCGCCGAGCGGAAAAGCCGAAGAAAAGGCCGAAGCAGAAGATGATGACGGCGAGGATAATAATGAAGATGAAGGTGAAGAAAAAGACGAGGAGGCAGAGCAGATGACAAAAATGTGAAGTCGAGCGGTTGATCCTTTGTCTCTTTTCTTACCATCTACATGGTGGTGTCCAGAGATCGATTATCGAAATAACACCTGAGCTAAAAAGGGGACATCAAGTGGCTAAAACGTCATAGCTAAGCGCAGCTCATGTTTGCATGTGACGGCAAAGCCTTTCGTCTTTTCAGCCCTCGCCTGTACTGTTATTATTATTGTATGAGATGGGAGATGGCTTGTGATTGTACCTAGGCTTAACCCGTTGCCGTTAATCATCGCTATCCTCCAGCTTTTCTTCCTGTGAGCTGCTTTTTAGGAGCCCCGGGTTCCCCGGACTTTGTCCTTTTCTTCTCTTCTGCCTCCATCGTTGTTAGTTATACGTTGCCTCTGATTCGGCGGGTCCCTCTTTTGCACATATATCTTCCATAATATATAGCCGGCGTTGCCTCCCTTTTCTTGACCATCTCGTCTTGTCTGTTTGATATATACTATCCTTCATTCTTTGGGTTACAATCATGTCTGGCGTCTATTCCAAGGATGACGTTGCGTCGCATAGCAAAGGGGATAGTGTGTGGATTATCATCGACGGAGACGTCTACGATGTGTCTAAGTTCCTCGATGATCACCCAGGTTGGTTATAAACAGCATATATATCAGCGTTGAGAAACGAAGCTAACCTTACTATAGGCGGTAAAAAGAGTACGATCGTTTCTTGCCTTGTTCCTAGACAATATATACTCACAGTTCTGTTATAGTCTTGCAGCGCATGGGAGGAAAGGATGCTTCAAAGCAGTTCTGGAAGTACCACAACGCCGGCGTGTTGAAGAAGTACCAACCAAAGCTGAAGATTGGCTCCCTCGACTCTAAGAAAGCCGAGGCTGCCCCAGCTCCAGCTCCAGCTCCTACCCCGGCTCCAAAGAAGGAGGCCTCAAAGCCACAGGAACAATCCTCGCCTGTCCCAGCCGCAGAGGCCCTGGACCCCTATGGAGAGCTTATCCCTTTCTCGGACCCGTCGTGGTACCATGGAGTAAGTTATGCTGCGCTAGACATATAGCAAAAGATACTGACAGCTAACTTGCATCTAGTATTACTCTCCATTCTACAACGAATCACATGCTGCTCTACGTGACGAGGTGCGACAGTGGGTAGAGACCGAGATCGAGCCTTACTGCCACGAGTGGGATGAGGCCAAGGCAGTTCCCGAGAACATTTACAAGCAAATGGGCGAGAGAGGTTACCTTGCTGGTCTGCTTGGCCTATCATACAACAAAGACCTAGTCAAGAACCAGGTGAAGAGCGTTTCTCCTGATAAGTGGGATCTCTTCCACGAACTGATTGTCACCGATGAGCTTTCTCGTGCAGGCAGCGGAGGCATTGTCTGGAACCTCATCGGTGGATTTGGCATTGGCTGCCCACCAGTCGTCAAGTACGGATCCAAGGAGCTTGTCGAGCGTATCGTTCCAGGTATACTGGCTGGTGACAAGCGTATCTGTCTAGCCATAACCGAACCTGATGCCGGAAGTGATGTCTCCAATTTGTCCTGTGAAGCCAAGCTTACCCCTGATGGAAAGCATTACATCGTCAATGGTGAGAAGAAGTGGATCACCAACGGTATCATGAGTGACTACTTCACCACTGCTGTACGAACTGGAGGCCCTGGCATGGGCGGTGTCAGTGTTCTCCTGATCGAGCGCTCTGCCGGAGGTGTGAGCACACGTAAGATGGACTGCCAGGGTGTCTGGAGCAGTGGTACCACTTACGTTACCTTTGAAGACGTCAAGGTTCCTGTCGGCAACCTGATTGGAAAGGAGAACAAGGGCTTTAAAGGTGTGCATCTCCTTTTCTCCAGTATCAAAAATGTCAATGCTAACTTAATTATCAGTCATCATGACCAACTTCAACCATGAACGTATGGGTATCATCATCCAATGTCTCCGCTTCTCCCGAGTCTGCTACGAGGAGTCCGTCAAATACGCCCACAAGCGCCGCACTTTTGGCAAACGACTCATCGACCATCCAGTCATCCGTATGAAGCTCGCCCATATGGCTCGCCAGATCGAAGCCAGTTTCAACTGGCTCGAGAATCTCGTCTTCCAGTGTCAAAATATGGATGAGGACGCCGCTGCCCTTCGTCTAGGCGGAGCTATCGCCGGTCTCAAGGCCCAGTCAACTACCACCTTTGAGTTCTGCGCCCGTGAGGCTAGTCAGATCTTCGGAGGTCTCAGTTACTCTCGTGGTGGACAGGGTGGTAAGATCGAACGCCTCTACCGTGATGTCAGAGCCTACGCTATTCCCGGAGGTAGCGAGGAGATCATGCTTGACCTGAGTATGAGACAGTCCCTGAAGGTACATGAGATCTTTGGTATGAAGTTATAATGGCTTCCTTGTTTGGTACCTTCTGTTCTGTCGAATACATCTGTATGAATTCCCTTGTGTCAATATATCCCCGATGAACTTGTGCTTGTTTCATTTGATATAACTCCTGGCTCCAATTTCCTTCATGGCTACCTGTACCTTATTCCAAATTACCTACTTCGTAGAATCAAAAAGATTCACAAGATTCACATAAAGCTATTACTTGAGTCTCGTAAACGCTGCATCCCCGATATTATATCTTTCTTGCTGATGAAGTTTGTACCTTAAAAAAAAAAAATGTTTAAAAAAAAAAAACAAAATAGTCGGGCAAAGGATCCATCACGTGACCATCCCTTTGGCGCATTTTCCAACCTCAAAGCTTTGAAGGCGAAGAAGATGAAGATGAAGATTAAGAGCTTCGACTCTGCGCAGAGAAGACGTCTCGACAAGATAAAGCCACTATTCGACTCCACTAATTATCAAGACCCCCTTTTCCTCTCGTTCAAATCCTCTGAGATCACCCGCTGGCCGAAAGTGAGCTCTTTTCGACCGTTCCTGAGATAGCTCCGTCACCAAGAACTCGACACTCCGAGCCTAACACACCTATCGAACCCGCCTCCAGCGTACTTTTTCTGCGACCTGTTCTTTGAGATAGTTGGAAAGACTTGTACTCCTTAATAGGACGATTAGGGCCGTCCTATCAAAAAGATATCTCCCGTCACCCCGAGACTCTAACTTGACTGCTGGACGTCCGAACCGAGCTCAACCCCAGCCAACCAACACATAATTAATACCAAACATGTCGCATCCAGGAAACGAACAACAGTTTGCTTCGGAGGATGAAGAAGATTTCAATCCTGCGCCGGCTGAAGATTCCGAGCCAGAAGCTGAAGATGACCAGCAAGATAATCGCAGCGGCGGAAAACCCATAGATAACGACGATGGACAAGAGGTCGGTAAAAATAAAAAGAATGATGATGAAGAAAATGGAGATGAAGTGAAAAGGATGAATGATGGCGAAAATGGTGACTTGAATACTAATGAATCGCAACAGGCCAGAGGTGAAGATGAAGCCGGTGTCGAAGACGATGATGAAGGGGAGCCCGAAGGAGATAACGAGGATGACGATGAAGAGGAAGAAGAAGAGGAGGAGGATGAGGAAGCAGTTACCGTAAGTGTGCCTTACATCTCCAGTTTTGAGACGCTCTTAGTTACCTTTGAGTCCGATGCTGATGAGTGCGAATAGGGTCGCCCTCGAAAGCGCAGAAGACATGGACTCGGCGCTTTCTTCGAAGAAGAAGCAGAAGTCGACGACGAAGATGAAGCGGAAGATGAAGAAGACGAAATCGAAGCCGGTTTCGTCCACCATGACGATGAAGTTGTCCTGCCCGCTGGCGCAGAAACGGATGATAGGCGCCATCGTGAACTCGATCGAAAGCGTGATATGGATGCAACGATGGATGCGGAGCAGCAGGCGCAAGCTCTAAAAGAACGATATGGCCGAAACCGTGCCTCTGGAGCTGATCTTGTCGTTGTCCCCAAAAGGCTTCTCCTACCTAGCGTTGATGACCCGAGCATATGGGGTGTCAAGTGTCGACCGGGCAAGGAGAGGGAGATTGTGTTCAGCATTATCAAGCGCATGGAAGAGCGGCCCCTTGGCTCACGAAACCCTATCAAGATCATATCCGCTTTTGAGCGCGGTGGAACTATGGCTGGTTATATCTACGTGGAAGCCCGGAAACAAGCCGATATCATTGATGCCTTAGATGGAATGTCTAATATTTACGTCAGGTCTAAGATGACCTTAATCTCTGTCAAGGAAATGCCTGATCTACTCCGAGTGAAAAAGTCAGAGGAACTTACCCCGGGAGGCTGGGTCCGAATCAAGCGTGGACGATACCAAGGGGACTTGGCCCAGCTTGAGGAAGTTGAGACAAATGGGCTTAATGTTACCGTTAGACTTGTCCCTCGTTTGGAGTACGGACTCAACGAAGACAGCAATGCGCCTGCTCTCGACCCCAAGCGTAAGAGGATTGGAGGAGGGAGTAGTGCGATTGCCAGGCCTCCTCAACGGCTGTTCAGTGAGGCAGAAGCGAAGAAGAGACACTCCAAGTATCTCTCTGCTACATCTAGCTTGGGAGGCAAGTCTTGGTCTTATCTTGGTGATACTTACGTCGATGGCTTCCTTATCAAAAACATGAAAGTTCAACATCTCATCACCAAAAATGTTAACCCTCAACTTGACGAGGTGACAAAGTTCGCTCGTGGTGCCGATGATGGAACTTCGAATCTCGATCTTGCATCTTTGGCTGCTACAATCAAGAATACGACTGAAGAGGATGCCTATCTGGTTGGAGACACTGTTGAAGTCTTTGCAGGCGAACAGCGCGGTGTCGTTGGCCAGACAGTAGCAACCCGCGGCGACATTGTTACCATCAAAGTCACTCAAGGTGAACTACAAGGCCAGCATATTGATGTGCCCACCAAGGGTCTTCGAAAGAGATTCAGCGAAGGTGATCATGTCAAAGTCATCGGAGGAAGCAAGTATCGCGATGAATTGGGTATGGTTGTTCGGATCAAGGATGACCGAGTCACCATCCTCACAGACATGACGATGCAAGAGATCACCGTTTTTAGCAAGGATTTGAGAGAAGCTGATGACATTGGGGTTGATGGAAAGTTGGGCCAGTATGATGTCCATGATTTGGTGCAAATCGAGTAAGTTTCCTATTTCTGTTTTACAGTACCATGCATCAACTAACAAGTAAACTACAGCCAAACAACAGTTGGATGTGTGGTGAAACTTGATAGAGAGTCAATGCGAGTCATAGACCAGAATGGCTCAACCCAAATTGTGCTTCCATCGCGGGTTTTGGGCAAGATCGAACACCGACGACATGCTGTCACCACTGACCGAAATGGTTCTGAAATCAAGTGTGGAGATACCGTGAAAGAGGTGACTGGTGAGCAGCGGACTGGTACCATCCTGCATATCCATAGAGCGTTCCTCTTCTGTACTAGCAAGGTTGTGGGAGATAATGCTGGTATCATGGTCACTAGAGCTATAAACGTTACTACCGTGGCCACCAGCGGTTCTAAATTAGGTAGGTCTGCCCCAGATCTATCAAAGATGAATCCGGCTTTGCAGAAGAACGGTATGAATGGTTCTGGAATGCCACCACCGCGAACATTCGGCAGGGACCGACTTGTTGGAAAGACTGTTCATATTCGAAGGGGTCCGTTCAAGGGTCTGCTGGGTATCGTCAAGGACACAACGGATATCATTGCTCGAGTAGAGTTACACTCCGTTTCAAAAGTCGTACCTGTTGAAAAGGAGAATCTCTCTGTCAAGGAGTACGTATTATTAATCATCCCCTATTTAGGTCCTGTCCTCAGCTAACTCACATATACGCAGCCCGATTACTGGACAACCTGTAGATATCAACCGATTTGGTGGCAGAGGTGGTGGTGCTCCGAGAGTTCCACAATCCATGGCTACAGGAAGAGCTGGCCCCCAAGATGCTGCATGGCAAGGGGGAAGAACACCGATTGCTATGGGCGATTCGTCTCGTACACCAGCCTGGCGAGCGTCATCTTCTCGAAGTAAGTATCCCGTTATGCTTGGTTAAGGATGGCCTCAGGACGCGGACTAACTTGCTTTGTTTAGCCCCTGCTTGGAATGCTGCAGTAGGATCTCGCACTCCCGCTTGGAAGGCTGAAGGTTCTCGTACCGCCAACCCTTATGATGGTAACAGAACCTCTTACGGTGGGTTTGGTGGACGTACTCCAGCCTGGACTTCTGGAACAAAGACACCTCACGATGCTGGGTCCGGGTTCTCAGGGGGCTCTTCAAACTCAGGCTTTGACGCCTTCATGGCCGGCTCTCGAACCCCAGGTCATCCGGGTGCAATGGCGGCAAACAGTGGCTCCCGTACACCTGCCTGGGGCCATTCTGGAAGCTCCAGCTCACATCTCAGCACCAATGCCGGCAGAGCTTTCGATGCTCCTACTCCTGGCGGTGACTACACGGCTCCATCTCCCGCCCCATTCGGCAGTGCTCCAACTCCTGGAGCAACAGCTGCTACTCCTCGTGCATGGCCGGATAATGCACCTACACCTGGTGCTTCAACTTTTGCTGGAAAACGTATAGATGGTGATGCGTATGATGCGCCTACACCTGCCGGTGATCATCGACCATATGACGCACCCACTCCTGCAATCGGGATGGGCTTCCCTGCTACTCCTGGTGCCATGGACGATGCACCTCGATATGCAGAGGGCACTCCAAGTCCATGATGAAGCAGATTTATGTCAAGCACATCCACTACCTTATCTGAAAACGCTAAGCAGGCAAGGTTACCCACTTTTTACCTGAGAAATCTTCTTCTTTTTCTTTAGTTTACTTCCGGCTCGGTATTCATTTGATTATGTTCCAAATGCCGTGGATTTCATTTTATGATCTGACTTAGTGGACGTAGGCGCTGGGATATCAAATATTTCATCCCTCACTGATGTTCCTGATTTGCGTGTCCTCTGGATGTTTTTATTTTGCCAAGCAAAATGATGGAAAACCAGGGGAAAAAAATTGATCTGAACCTCAAGGCAAAGCAGGAGTTCATTTTTGTTTCTTGTATTATTAGCTAGCATGTCTTTGTCGTTCCAATGACAATAGATCCCTTACATAGTTTTTCCCCTTTGCGAAGATACTAGAAGTCACCGACGCTCTAGCTATAAATGCTTACGTAACCAACAGCATGACGCCCCGCAAGCTATCAAAAAAAAAAAAAAAAAAAGCTCCCCGCAACATGAAAGGAACAAACTAGAAGAGAAGACACATTTGGATATTGAGGCTGTGTGTAAGATAGGGACAGGATCTGAGAGAGCGGAATGATTACAATGTCGCCGTCGCCTCCAGAAACAGAAGTCGAACCCTCACGGGCCGAGCGAGAGCGTCTCGACCGTGAACACAAGGAAAAAGAAGCAAAAGAGCAGGCTACACTGCCATACAAATGGACACAGACGATTTCTGAGGCAGAGGTCACTATTCCGGTGCCTGCTGAGATACGCGGAAAGGACCTAGAAGTCATACTGACCAAGACCAAGATCCGAGTTGGGTTGAAGGGCAAGGACCCTATCATCGATGTATGTACAAACGTACCTTTGCATACGGTCCACATCTTATACTAAGAGATTTGATAGATGCTAACCTGTGTTTGTATAGGGCTCATTCCCACATCCGATTCACGTTGATGAGTCCTCATGGACCCTTGAGACCGTCTCTAACCCTCCAGGCAAAGAAGTGACTGTCCATCTAGACAAGGTGAACAAGATGGAATGGTGGCCTCACATTGTCACTACCGCTCCCAAGATCGACGTTAGCAAGATAACGCCTGAGAACTCGAAATTGAGTGATCTTGACGGTGAAACAAGAAAAATGGTTGAGAAGATGATGTATGATCAGCAGCAGAAGGAGATGGGAAAGCCATCTAGTGATGAACAGAAGAAGGCTGAGATGCTCAAGAAGTTCCAAGAACAGCACCCAGGTATGATATTGTGATGTTAAATCTTTATTTGCCAGGATCTGTACTAACTTTGATGCAGAGATGGACTTTTCCAAAGCCCAAATTGGTTAAGAAGAGACTGTTAACCATCCCTTTCCTTTGCATGGGGACAAGTCTAGGTTGTGGATATATCATGTTACTTATAGCATAGTGAACATGGGTGTGAATACCAGTCTCATTCTACTTATCTTAACTGTTGACTTTAATACGTAGTACTCCGTATACCCTTACTATTTCAGGCAAGTCAATCTAATTTTATGTATCGTGGGTAGCCTAACATATTGCAACCTCAAAGCACGGCCTATACTTAGATCTCATCTTGTATATAAGCGTGTCGCTGGCATTGAGACCCCATAATATGCACCTATAAAAAGGGGCTTCTTCTTCCTCTTCCCGTTTCTTCGCCATTTATATGTAAATCCCCCCACCAATGACGTCAGAGCAGCGTCTTACATAAACAAAACACAAAACATCGACCTCAACTTGCTCTTCCTGCCCTGCTCCGTCTTTTGCTTCTTCTTCTCTTCCCGCATGTCATGAAGTGACTTGCAGCCCGCCATCGCATTGAATCTTGTCACCATGGGTCAGGACCTGGGAACAAAACATATACCAGGGCACACCCTGGCGAAGAATTTTGGTGTGGAGTATGTGATCCTGTACTCCTTCGAGGACCAGGGTGAGCTCCCCCCCTTACCACCCCTTCCCGTCCTACCTTGGGTATATTCGATGAGCCAACTGGACTAATGTGTACTGATGAGCTATTGATGTAGATGCTAGCAGAGAGCTGCAGAGATTGCTTCGGGCGTTGTATAGCGTCGGGCTGGAGGCTGCCGTGCGTCCTGGCAAAGGTCAATGTCTTATCGTCCTTGTCCGACCCCGAGAGGACAAATTGAAGGCAATGGCATATAGAACAAGGTATATATAGTTTCTATGGTTAATGTACGGGTATATGGCTTATGGATATTAGAACCAAGGACTGGCTGTATGGTGTGCGTACCTCACAGCCCACCAAGGATACCAACGATACCCAGGGGGTGCCGTGGACGGAGGCAGAGCGTCTCCGCACAATATATGACATGATGACTCTCCCATGCGCAGACGGCGGAGCAGATATCACCCCAGGGTATGGATATTGGAAGAATGTCAAGTCGATATTCCCTCTACATGACCACGACATGAACCGCGAGTGGATAAAGTCCTGGAGCCGTAAGACGCTTCTGGACAACAACGATCTGGAGCAGATCAGAGTAAAGCTGGGAGAGAAAGTAGCATTCTACTTTACCTTCCTGCAAACATATTTCCGTTTCCTCATGGTTCCCGCAGGCCTAGGCCTGTTCTGCTGGGTGTTCCTCGGCCATTTTTCGATCTTCTATGCTGTTTGGAACTCGCTCTTCTGTCTTGTGTTTGTAGAGTTTTGGAAGAGACAGGAGCTTGATCTGCGGCTGAGGTGGCAGGTAAAGGGAGTGTCCGAGATTAAGGCTCGGAGAAAGGAGTATAAGCATGAGAAGGAGATCATTGACCCGATTACTGGTGAGACAGTCTACGTGTTTCCGGCCTCCAAGCGCCTGGTTAGACAGTTGCTAGTGATTCCGTTTACCATGGCAGTGGTTGTAGCATTGGGCACTTTAATTGCAACATGCTTTGCTATCGAAGTCTTTATCAACGAGATCTACTCTGGCCCTTTCCAGACATACCTGGTTTGTCAATTCTTACCTCTTACTCGGTTTTTATACCCCATGGCTAATTAGTAGCAGGCATTCGTACCTACAATCATACTGTCACTCTCTGTGCCGACTATTAGCGCTATACTGACGAAGGTCGCGACCCAAATGACAGACTATGAGAATTATGAGACGCAGGACAGCCATGATATTGCTCTGACACGCAAAGTTTTTATACTTAATTTTGTCACTTCCTATCTGCCTATCTTCTTGACAGCGTTCGTGTATGTCCCCTTTGCACCGACTATAGTGCCGTACCTGGATGTCTTCCAGCTTGCCGTCAAGCCCTTCCAGCCCGATGAGAAGGGCGCAACAACAGCATCCGCAACTACAGAGATCAAAGAGTTCCGCATCAACAGAGCGCGACTGCGCAATCAGGTAATCTACTTTACGGTTACGGCTCAGATAGTGAATTTCGCACTGGAGACCGTCGTTCCCTATGTCAAGCGCAAGTTCTTCCGCACATACGAGGAGATGTCCGAGGCAAGGAAGCATAAAGAGGACAGTAAGTCCGCGTCGTCATCTTCTACCGACCTTTTGTTGGATGATATACCAGAAGAAGCCGAATTCCTCAAGCGGGTACGAGATGAATCTGAGCTGAATGACTACGATGTGACCGACGATTTGCGCGAGATGTGTGTGCAGTTCGGATACCTGGCTCTCTTCTCCCCCGTCTGGTCTTTGGTCCCAGTCTCCTTCTTGGTCAACAACTGGGTCGAGCTGCGATCGGACTTTTTCAAGATCTGCATCGAGTACAAGCGTCCCACGCCTTTCCGTGCGGACTCCATCGGTCCCTGGCTGGACTCACTCAGCTTCTTGTCGTGGATGGGCAGTCTGACGAGCGCAGCACTCGTGTATATGTTTTCATCTGTTACTGGAGCCAGCAACGACGAGCCTCACGATGACATCAAGGGCTGGCTACTGCTGCTGTCCATGTTTTTCTCCGAGCACATCTATCTGCTAGCTCGCCTGGCAGTACAGGTGGCCATGTCCAAGCTAGAGACTTTGGACACCCGCCGCGACCGTGCAGAACGTTACCTCATGCGAAAGGGTTACCTTGACCGCGCCAGCAGTGAACATGCAAACTTCGATGATACTGACCAGAACCACCACCAGCGTCGGGGAGAAGAGATGCTTGCCGAAGTTCAAGCTAGCGCTGGTGCAGGTGGAGGAGTTGACGATTTCGACGAGCTTGGCAGCGACTATGTGGAAGAGGAGATTGGGCAGATCACCCGCTCATCGCTCGAAGAAGACGCACGCAAGCTCAGCATGCCAGACGCAACCCCATCTGAGCTCTTTTGGGCGCGGCAGCAGGGGTGGAAGGAGTCCGCTAGGGTCGGGGTTGCTATTATCCAGGCGGGCGCCCAGAAGGAGACCAAGGAGCCCAAGGAAACCAAGAAGAGTCAATAGTTTCTATCTACTCTCTACCGTCTACCATTTTCATCTCTACAAACTATCTACTATCGATCTGCTGCCTACCATTTACTATCTACTGCACTTCATCCTGTCGTCTTAACTATCTGCCTGTCAGTAGCCAGCATTTGTTGATATTGAGTTTCGAGCCTATTTTAATGTTAAACGTAGTTAGTCATCAGTTCGGAGTGGACCTTGCTCCTGACCTCGCGACTCCATCGAACTTTCAATATTCAATGTCTTCGTGTCGATAGAAGAGCATCGCGTTTGATTGACATATTGAAGCCATGACCGAGCGATCAGGCGTCAGTTAGCTGCTGAGGCGGTTAACTAGCTCAGCCGTCTATTGGAGACCTGCATGCTGCAAACGTTGATGGACCAACGATTATCCGGCTGCTGCCTGCTGAAAAGACAGGGATACCTCCGACTATAAGTTCATCTTGTCCCTGGCCTCATTCGTTTGGTCCAGTGGCATACTTTGTAATAGCAGCAGAAGAACTACCCAGCAGCTATGTCTAGTGAACTACCCGCATCGTCTCGAGATGAGCAGCTTCTCCAGGAGCTGGAGAAGTTGAAGCGCGCCAATGAAGAGGAGAGACGTCGTCACGAAGAAGAGAGACTCCGTTATGAAGAAGAGAAACGCCGTCTCGAAGAGGAGGGACGTCGTCACGAAGAGGAGAGACTCCGTTATGAAGAAGAGAAGCACCATCTTGATGAGGAGAGACGTCGTCACGAAGAAGAGAGACTCCGTTATGAAGAAGAGAAACGCCGTCTCGAAGAGGAGGGACGTCGTCATGAAGAGGAGAGACTCCGCTATGAAGAAGATAGACGACAGCGTTCAGAGGACAGGAAGAAACAACAAGAGGAGCTTGAGGCATTGAAGCAACAGGTAAAGCCAACCACTCTGCCCGAATACCTGGATGCCTGCCATGTCTACCTATCTGTTGGCTTCGAGTCACGGGTCGACCATAAGGACGGAACCAAGGGGCCTGTTGAGAACGCAAAATCGAAACTACGCCCCAGATACATCCGGGAATGGAGAACCTTCCCTCAGGAGCAGGCGAAGGTGTGGGAGTTACTTTTCGAGTCCGACTTTGTCTCTCAGCCCCATTTTGCCTCTGCAAATGGAGTAGAGCAAGAAGGCAAATATATATCACTGAGAATGCTTAGGTCTGAGCTAGACCTTGGCTATTACGAGCGCTATACGGTTGAGGACCGGGTTGCGTTTATCATCCAGACTCTTTACGCGGACCCTAAGTTGCGTAAGACATTCAATCTCATGGGGAGCGTTACATTTGAAAACCATGGAAACACCATCACCCCAGGCTCGGATGAAGAAGTAAATGCTGGTTTACCATTACCACCACCACAGTCTCCGGTGCAGAAACGGCGGAAGCAAACTGACTCAGCTGACCCGCTTACGGTGCATACGGGATCTTCGCGTCCTCGAGCCGATCAGTTCTGTGTTTACAATTCGGGCAATGATAAGATGGTGCCGGCTTTTATCATTGAATACAAGCCACCCCACAAGCTGCTCACGGATAGCGCGCTGGACGGGCTCCTGGATATCGAGGTCGACGAGGTGGTTATAAGTAGTGATAACGATGATGAAGCCAAGCGTAATCGCCGCATGGTAGCTGCAGTCATCACGCAGACGTTTTCCTATATGATCCAGGCCAGGATTGAGTTTGGGTATGTCTGTTCTGGCGAACTGTTTATATTTCTCCGTATAGACCCCAACGACCCTACTACCGTGTACTACTATCGGTCCACGCCCAATGAAGACGTGGGAGAGACCACCGGCTGGACTGGTGATTCGGATGGCGGGACCAGCGACTCGGATAGCTCTACCAGTGACTCGGGCGGCCATAATAGGCTACATCTCACAGCAATCGGACAGGTCCTTGCCTTCACACTCCGGGCTCTGAGGTCTCCTCCGCACGGTCAGAACTGGCCGACTGACACGGAGGAGCGGCTGAAGAAGTGGGAGATTGAGTTCAACCACGACGTTGTCTACGGTCTAGATAGCAGCAGCCCGCCGGAGAAACTGCCCTCTTCCGGCTACAAGCCACCACGGTCGAGCAGAGACGAGTATATGCGGATGTCGCCTGTCAAGACAAGATCGAAACGCCGGGCAGCAGCAGCAGCATCTTCATGTCGAGAGCCTGAAGAGCCAAACCCCGAGTCCAGCGATGGGGACGACGAGAGTGGGAACTGGGGCACTGATCCCAACAGCCCAACCCCAAGACGGCCCCGGCCTTTGTCGAAAGCTCAAGTTGTCGTATCCTCTCGGTCTCGCCCTCCTCCTCCTCCGCCAACGGAGAGAAAGCGATACGTGTACAACACCGGTCCTATTAACCCATGGTGCACTCAGAAATGCCTTGCGGGACTCCGGACCCGTGGCCTCCTTGATCCGAAGTGTCCCAACGTGGCGATTCATGGCACCGGCCCTCGACATGCCATTGACGATTTCCAGTTCCGCAAGCTGATGCGGGAGCAGATAGTAGGACCCAAGGGCCCCTGGGGCTGCGAGTCGATGCACCGCCATGGAACCTCCGGAGCGCTGTTCTGGGTCACTACCTTTCCCTACGGGTACACTCTTGTGGCCAAGGCCATGCCCATTGAGACGGTCAGACGAGCCATCCACGAGGAGAACATCTACCAGCAGCTGTACAAGATCCAGGGAAAGTATGTGCCGGTGTGCCTGGGGAGCATCGACGTCTCCGGCGGGCCTCTGTGGTACGACGGCATCTTCCCGGTGGTGCACCTGCTGTTCCTGAGCCACGTTGGAAAGTCGATCGTCTCGCACGCGCAGGGGCGGAACCGTGTGAGCCAGTTTATACCGTCGGCGCGCGAGGCGCTGCAGGCGATCCACCGGCAGCTCACCCTGCACTGCGACACGCATGTCGGCAACATGTTCTGGAGCCGGGAGAACAAGCGGGTGATGTTCATCGACTTTGAGCGGGCGAGGATAGCGAAGGAGAAGAAGCGCAAGCGGGGGGCCGTGTCGCCGCAGACCCGGGTGCTGGGCACCGAGTTTGAGCGGGAGCTGCGGTCTGCCACGAGCGAGATGGCATAGATCTCTCATCCTATACATGCGTAGTAGATACAATCAAGATAAATGCATTGCATGACGTAATCTTAGTCATCACTTAGTCATCACTTAGTCACCGTCTTTGTCATCACTTTGTCATCAATGTGTCATCATCATGTGACCATCCCCCGCTTATTAATACTGCCCGCCTTTCCCTTTTTTTCCCTTTTCTCTCGCTCTCTTTTTTCTTACTCATCACGACCTCTCAAGTTCTTCTTCCTCTCCAAACGCCCAAAGCGGGAAAAGACGACGCGGACGCTGACTACATCCTGACTCACCGCGACGGCCAAAAAAGAAACGCCGGCCTTTCTATACCTTAATAAACTACATCGCCAGCAGCCGACACAGCCAGCTCCAGCTTCGCCAGACGCCATCCCCGACGCCCGCGATGTCGACGATGCTGCAGCAGCAGCCGCACCAGCAGCAGGGCCAGCAGGGCCAGCAGCAGCTCGCGCCCCATCCGGGCCTCTCCCAGGACCCCAGCAAGTCGCACCAGGCGCCGCAGTCGGTCCAGGTAAGCTCGCCATACACCACGGTACATCTGCTCCCTCTACGCTCCCCGCAGCGACGCTCCTGATAAATTAATCAATACCCTGTAATCCACTGCTCGCCGCTCCCCTCGTCACTGCGCCGGCCTGCGCCTGTCGCGGGTGGCCACTGCGATATCCATCCAGCTTCCTGTGTTTTGCCCTCTACATCTACAGCTACATCCACAACACCACCAAAAAACTGCGTCTGGCCGCGCCCTGTCGGGGGTGCCAGCTCGACTCCTACCCGTATTCTCTTGTTGCTTGCGTTGGTCGCGTAGTCGGCTTCTCCTGTTTCTTCTTCTCATGGGTCGCTTTGCTAACCAGCCGGGCGGTGGACGCGCTTCGCGGTCTGCCATGGCCCTCCTCCGTCTCCAGGACCAAGCAGAGCAAGGTATGGCCACCCAGACAAGCACCTGAGACGCAGTGACAGATGCTGACGGATGATGTTGCTGTTGTTGTAGTTCTACGCGAGCAGCTGCTTGCCGCCCACCTAACGAACGCATCTCACACGGCTCCCCCGCCGCCTCGCCCGCAACCAGGCGTCCCCGCGCATCTCCAGGCCGCCGCCGCTGCTGCCGGCGCCGGCGGGCAGAGAGACCATATCAACATTGATCCCGCCATCTCGGGCATGACCGCTGCTCCCCAGGTGCACACCACTGCCGCGATGCTGGCCCAGCCGCCCCAGGCTCAGGTTCCCGTCGGCCAGCAGGACATGACCGGTGCTCCTCCGGGACTCGACCAGACCGGCGAACCGCGCAAGGTCTACGGTAAACGCGAGCTCTCGTCTTCCAAGCGAGCTGCTCAGAACCGTGCTGCCCAGGTAGGCTCATCCTTGTAATCTTTTTTATTTTTATTTTATTTCATTTTTTTTTTTCCTGTTTTGTTATTGTTGGTGCTAACGCGTTTGTTAGCGCGCTTTCCGTCAGCGTAAGGAAGGCTACATCCGTAAACTCGAGGAGCAGGTCAAGGAATACGAGATGTTGCTGGACAACTACAAGGCCATCCAGGCGGAAAACTACCAGCTCCGCGAATATATCATCAGCCTGCAGTCGCGGCTCATCGACTCCCAGAACGAGGTTCCCGAGCTGCCGGGAAACATCGACCTCAGTCAACCCCGTCCAGAGCCCGCCATCGTCACCTCCGGCGGTCAGCAGCAGGGTCAGCAAGGCCAGCAGGGCCAGGGACAGCAGGGCCAACAGGGTCAGCAGCAGCCCGGCCAGCAACAGGCCCAGCAACAGGGCCAGCAGGGCCACCAGCAAGGCGGTGCCGGCGGTCAGGCCGGTGCAGGCCAGCACAGCTCCCAGTCTGAACTCAACGCTCTCAACCGCATTGCTGTCGCAGGGCTAGGCATGAGAAAGCACCAGCATGAAGAGGCAGCCTTCTTGGGCCAGGGCGGTAACTTCTCCAAGCGCACCAGACAGGACGGCCAGGACGACTCCCAGGCCGGAGAACAGTCCAAAGCAGAACAGATCTGAAAGGGGAAAAAAAAATCTTCCCATTGTCTCTTTATACTCTCCTTGTTACTCCCCCATTTCTTCCCTCCTGTCGTCCCTCGCTTTTTTCCCTCTCAATCTCACTCTATATCTCTACGAACTATTACTACTACTACGCGCGTTGGTGTTGGAGACGGATTCGGCTCTTGCTTTGACATGTCTTTGAACTCGTATGATTGTGTTTCTCCCCCTTTTTTTCGTCCATTTTTTTTTTTTTTTTTCAACTCTCCTTCTCACGGCTAGGTTATCTGCGTATTCTTTTCGTCTGGCTCCTGACGAGCTGATATACTGCTACTCTACTGCTGCTGCTTCTACTGCATTGATTATTGATAAAGAATGTTGCGGATGGGCAGGCCTAGGGGGCCCTAGGGGGGGACGGTGTTCTGGAGTCTGGTCCGGTCGTCATGCTTCTTTCTCGTTCTTGTATCTACTTACTCGTGCGTTTGACTTGTATACGTTAGTTATATCTTTTTTGGCATAAAAGCGCCGACGGTTCTTCATTCATACACTCTATCTCTGCCTGTAGATCTGTAGATACGTAGACTTCTACGTAGCGTTGCCCAAGTTATGCTCCTATCCAAACAGTCAGCCATGTCGAATCGATATAGAAAAGAACTGCTAAAGAGAATGTAAACTCACCTTGAGATAGTCGCCTCCTTTCTCAAGATACTCCTGTCTCGAGACAGACGCAGTGCGCAGTCCACCACCGCCCGCCCAGGCAGCCGCCCCTTTCCATGCATCAAGCACCCTATCACCGGCCCTTCGCACGCTACACTCCAGCCCCGTAGGCAGCACACTCCTATACTCCTTGCGGAACCGCTCTTCAAACCCTTCAAACATCGTATTCCCGCCCGTCAGAAACACATCCTTCAGCAGCCGCTGCTGGTCCTCTCCCGCCGGGAAACGCTGCAACACCACGTCCGCCGCTATCTCGACCAGTCCTGCCTGATCAATGCCCGCTATCGAGGGCTGGAAAATCACCTCGGGAACCCGTATGCGCTCCACGTTGAGATGCAGCTGGTGCGCTTCACGCTGGCTCTCGGCGTCAAACGGCCACGGCCCGCGAAGGAACATGTGGATCATGCTCTTGGTCCAGTCCGTCTGGGCCTCGAGCGTGTGGTTCTCAGTGAACTCGGGATCGTACTGGAGTAGTTGCGCCTCGACGGATTTCAGCATACCGTCTATGTCTTCTTCTTCCTCGTCGTCGCTTGCGTCTCCCGTCGCGACGGTGCGGTAGACGCCCCAGTCGTCGTCGTTGGCGCCGAACGTGTCGTCCTCGCCGCCTCGACGACGCTTCTTGGGCCCGTCAGAGGCGAGGTTGGCCAGTGTGCGCATGCGGATCTGGCTTGCGAGAGACTTGCGGTTGCCTGCGTCGGCTTTGAGTCTGTCTCGCTGCTTGATCTTGCGCAGTATCGTCTACACGTCTCACGTTAGTAGCAGGTAGGTAGATATGTAGGGAAAAGGGGTTTAGGGGGGTTTAGGGCGTACCTCACGAGCTTGTCTGCGCTCTTCAATCCAGGCGTCGAATTCGTTCTCTCGCTTCTCATCGTCCAGTCGTTGCTCCTCTGCTATCCGGGCCTTCTCCCTCTCCTTCTCGGCCTTTGCACGCTGTCGTGCTTCCACATTCGACTTCATCAGCCTCTGGTGCCGTTTCTCCTTCAGCCCTGCCTCATCCAGCTCTTCGTCCGGCACGTCTAGCAAAGGGAACGACGCTTCTTCCATCGCATCGCCGTTCTCCTCGTTGCCCAGGTCCTTGTTGCGTGACTTCTTGACGGACTTTTCTAGCTCTCGTATCGTTCGTTCCAGCGCTGCTTCGTCCTTCATGTCTTCTGCATCCAGCAGTCGTCTGATCTCCTTCTTCGTCTCGTTGGCAAACCGCGCCTGGATCCCCTTGTAGTATTCGAGCTCCTGCTCCTTTTTCACCAGCTTCTCCAGCCGCATCTTGGCCGCCTGCTCCTGAAGCCGTCGGCCGCTTTCTTTCTTCCGCTCTGCGATCCGAGCTAGCTCCTCTTCCGTCTTCTCAACCACGACGTGTTCCGTGAACGGGTATTGAATAACATGGTCGCGGTCCTCCAGCCCCGTCCAGTCTAGATATCCGGACAGCTCCTTGTCGTATTCTAGGGAGACGTAGCAGTGCTCTCGTACTAATGACTGTATCTGGCTCTCCGTCATCTTGGACGGGAACGTTGGGTATTTAAGCCTAAGTAGCTTCATCAGGTAGTCGGAGCTATGGTACCCGCCCCAATTGAGCCGAGCCGAGTTGGACAGCAGCGCCTTTGATCCCAGTACGGGGATGACATGCGTAGATGAATGAGAAGACGAGATCACCAATCCGTTTTCTCCAAAGTTGTATTTGTACGAGAAGAGTGCATCAATCCCATAAGCAACTGATGGTGCCGAGTAGCACTCAAACAATATCTCGTTCATCACTACCAAACCGTTAGCCTTAGCCTCTCAACACCGGTCAAGCATGCATATGTAATTATTACTCTTCCTGGAATATCCCAAGTTGGCTATCGTCTCCGTCAGCACGAGGGGACGGTCAACTCCTCCGTTTCCGCCTTCGACTCCCAGCTTGATGAAGATGTAATCCAGCAAACCCTCAACCACGTCCCAGTTGCTTATCACGCCCGTCCCGGCGTCAAACGCATTCCGCATCTGGCCTCTGGTGGTCGCATCGGTGTAGGCATCGTATCCAACAAACTGGCAGGCCCGGTTCAGCTTGCGATCGCGGTACTTGGACGCAACGGGCGGAATCACTAGCCGCGGGCTCTCATCGAACGACCAGCCCGCCTTGACCGTGTGCGAGCCTACAGATAATACGTGTTAGTGCAATGAAGTACAAAAACGAGGTATACAAGGGATCTCCCACCGTTGTCTATCACAATTGCGCTGTTCTCGGGGTCGTGTCTGCTCTGTTCGTAGCCATCTCGTAGGTCCTGTTTAACGGGGAATTCATGATGATTATTGAGCGGCTGTTCGGCGATGTTGTAGAGGAAGGGCACCAGATTTGCTTCCCTCCGCTCTTGAACTGTCAGGCTGTTATCTGGGCTCTGGATGCGTTGTGACGAAGTGATGACCATCTTGATGTAGCTGACTGAAGCTGTAGTTTAAGCAAGTCGGTAGGTAGGTAGGTAGCGGGTGTGGCGAGCAGCTGGCTATCGGACGAAGCCCAGGAGAGCTCCCATAGCAGATTTCCAGCTGGCACGAAGGTCGCGGGAGGGATTCAAGGCGAGGAAATGGGAGATATCGTGGTATCAGCGGGCTGGAGAGGTGGTTGTTGGTGGCTGTTCGAGCCCGTTGAAGCGGTTTTTCTTGAGGTTTGCGAGGCGGAAAGTTGGCCGGCGGAAGTTTTGGCTGGTTGGACGAAGGTACATCGACATCGACAGCTACAGCTACATCTACGCACGGAGAGGAGGATTTACAAAAGAACATGCCAGAGATGGAAAATACGTGACTTCATTAATGGGTATTAGTTCATTACATGGCCATTTCTCGTCGATACGTCTCTATGAGGGGTCCTTCAAGTTCTCGGTAGCTATAGTATCCCGTCAGCCATGCGACTATCAGGCAAAAGGACCCAGACAGACCTTCAAGATGAAAGAGGACGTTCGACTGGTAATTCTTGAACATCTGCGCGACCAGCTCGACGTTCATGTTCTGTACGTTGACCTCCTATTATGCCGTCAGCCGTCTGCTCCATACAACGCAGGTAGCTAAGGAGGAATACCTGGAGTCCTTTATTCAACACCGTGATGGCTTCATTGAGCTTCTCCTGCAGCGGCCGTCAGCATCAGCATCCTCCAAAGACGGGAGTTTGTCTACTGACAACGTTGGTGATGATGCGCGCCAGCAGCTGGCTTTGTTGGTGCTCGTGTGGGCTCTCCTTGAAGCAGGTAAGCAGGCGTCCGTCGATACGCAGAGAGTATCACTTACCATGGTATCCCGCCGTCCAGATAGCGCCCACCAGTGTCTAATTCGTCTCTTTCGTAAATGAAATATCTATAAAGATGCAAAGAAGTTGAAGTTGAAGTAAAGAAGCAGAAGATAAACAGATGTTGCCTCTTTTGGCCAAGTTTGCTCTGTTTGCATCCTCTATCACCAGCAAGCCAGACATCAAAAGCGACATCGACAGCGACAGGATCAACAGCGAGAATATCAACGAGAATACCAACGAGGATACCTAAAAGTGACAGAGATGGCGCCCCCAGCTGCAGTCCAGGACGACTCGCACCAGAGACTGCTCGACGAGCTCGACATCGCGCGCCTCCCGAAGCCCTTCCGCAACCCCAACTGGAAGCCGTCCGCACGCCGCAACAAGAACGTCAAGCAGATCCTGTCTGAGACGTCGCGAAAGGAGGCCTCTGCAGTCGCCAGCCAGACGAACAGCGGCAGCTCTACCCCCTTTGCCATGAGCACCAACTCTGCCGTCGGGACTGGCATGGGTTCAGCAGAGGGAGCGCAGACGCCCATGGTAGCGTCGACAGCCGCTACCCACGCACACCAGCAGCAAGGCAGCGTCAGACAGCCGAATATTGCTCAGGCCGCGCAGAGCCTGTCGACTCTTGTGCTAGAGAAGAACTTCCGAGCCGGTGCCCCCTCAGGACCGGCCGTGACATACACCAACATCGACGCTGCTCCGTCCCTGCAGGGCCATCAGAAACGATACTGCGACATTACGGGCCTCCCGGCTCCCTACACCGACCCCAAGACGCGACTACGGTACCATAACAAGGAGGTCTTTGGCGTGATCAGGTCGTTGGGGCCGGGAGTAGCAGAGAACTACCTCGAAGCTCGAGGAGCTCACACCGTTCTCAAATAAAGCCATTCACCTACGGAGTGTGTTCCTACAATTGATTATATTGCTACGATGGGGAGTATCACGCCAGAATACCAGTGTAGATACATGTTCGGCCCACCAAGTCAAGCCCTATCCATCCACGCAGCCCCTTTCGAGACGAGTTCAGAATAACGCTCCGGCTTAATCGGGACCACCAGACCTGGAGAGGCCACAGCGAGTGTGCACCTCCTGCCAGGCTGCTTTGCTCTGCGCCCTGTCCGAGAACAGTTTTTATTGACGGATACCGTCCTCCCATGGAAGAGAAGGGAGGTCAGTTACAGTGCCAACGAGACACTGTGGCCATGGCGTGTACGGTAGCTTTGAGTAGAATTACGCGGTTAGCTTTTGGTCTTGCTGCATTCTTTCGCTGCGAGGCCGACTGTTCCTCCTCTGCAGCATTGTTTCTTATTGATCTCGGGCTGATATCTCGCTGTCGTCGCCGTTGCTGCTGTTTGTTGCTGTCGAGTTTTTCTTTCTGTCTTTTCGATGTTGAAGAAAACGAAGTGCGAGCAGCCAAAAGGGGTTTAGCGCGGGATGATCTAGAAAAATAGAAAATAAAATAAAAATAAATAAAAATATTTAAAATCGACTTTCAGTTCGACAGAAATTCGGCGTTTGATATTGATTAAAAGACAAAAAGACGATTCTTCGCTACGACGGATCTCCTGCCAGGCTGCTTCAGGGGATGCTAGGACTGGAGCTCCGCCCAAGCTGTCGTTCCCTGCTGCGATCCCGGCCAGCCAACTACTTCACTTGGTTCCTCCTGGCCAGCTAACTAGCTATCTGGCCTCTCAGGAACCTCCCTCCCTCCCGCCGCAATCAAGCTGCGGATAATTAAGAGTGCAGGTTATATATCAATCTCTCGGTAAGGTAAGTGGAGCGCCATGAGCCAGCGGGCGGAGGAGTCCTTAGTCCTTCTCTTCCCTGATCCTTCCCAGAAGATCGCGCTTGTGTGTCGCTGGTGGAGTGTTTGGGCGTTTCATGAACTTGTTCCCCCGGCTAATAAAATCCCATAATACCAGCGCCAGGCCTATCGGTTACATGTGCAGCTCGACCTCGACCGGCGGATAATTCATTGCGTAGACGGAGTCGCTGCCAACTAAACCAGTCCACGCTCGCCGATTCATCTCGTCGATCGCCTGTTCGGTTATACGGCCCGGGATAGCTCTACATATACTTGGGTGTGGGATAGAGCTGGATCTGGAGCTGGAGCTGGAGCTGAGGATTGTCTACTTTGTTACAAGGGGACAGAGAGGAGAGCCGCAGCCATGCCGTCCATGTGGCTGACAGATACCCAGAGTGAGTGTTTGGTATCGGAACAAAGCGTTAAAGCACGGGCGTGTGGTGTGACTGACTGTGTGATGATGATGATGTATAGAGGTTGGGGTGGTGTTCTGCTCTGGCGGTAGGTGAGAGAGCTTTGCATTGACTCCCAAGTATACGCTGAAGGCCGTTGGGACCTGACATGGGCATGCAATCACAGGCAGTCTATTCCTCTTCCTGGGGATTCTCATGTTCTTTGATCGATCACTGTAGGTGACTCATCTATTCTTCTTTTCTGTTCCCCGGCTTGCTAACAGTTTTGTAGACTTGCTATGGGAAATGTAGGGATTCCTCGTCTGTTTGCCTTGACCTTTCGTACCTAACGAGAATAGATCCTCTTCTTGATCGGCCTACCTCTCATACTCGGACCGCAAAAGACGCTCGCCTTCTTCGCGCGCCGACAGAAGCTCACGGGAACAGTCACGTTCGCCCTGGGCATCTTTCTTATCCTCTTCCGCTGGCCTCTGGTAGGCTTCTGTGTCGAGCTATACGGCCTCTTTGTCCTGTTCGGTGATTTCCTGGTCACTCTCGGCGGGTTCGTGGGCAGCATACCGGTGGTAGGGCCGTATCTGAGACAGGCACTGGTCTGGCTGGGTACCATGGGAGGGAGAAGGCCAAACCAGGACCTACCAGTATAAAAAGGCACGTCTTCGGATGGACAAACCGTCTTTTAATATACAGAGAGTGAGCGGCCACGATGGCCTCTTACAATACTACTGTATATAATATATGTATTATAGCAGTTCATGATATACCCACTGGTTCATGAGGACCTACCATTCTCGACGAGGTATAAAAAAATATATAGCGGAGTTGAAATGGAACCGAGATGATAAAAAGGGCTAGTGAAACTAGATGCCATTCATCGAGGGAATGTACAGTGGTTTTGCTTTCTCTCTTTCTTTTCCTGATGACGAATCCCTTAAGATGGTATCTCATACAAAAGAAGAAAAACAAAATTATATGCAAGAAATGGAAAACCGCAGACATTTGTACCAGGCTGTTTCTCCTTTTCTTTTTCTTCACGAGAATGAGAGAGGGATCAAGCTGTCTGGCAGATCCAGAGGTTTGCTGGTTAGTGTGTTGGGAGGATGTATGTGGGGTTAAAAAGGGGGGATAAGCGTGTCCTCTTCTAGTAGCCCACACCTTTGAGGTACTCTGCCAGGGCTTCTACGGTGTTGGTGGCGGCACCCGGCTGGATGGTCTCTGGGTAGTGTGCAAGGAGAAGGGCCATCTTAGTCCTGACAATGACGATGCCGGTTTTCCCCTAAGACGTTGTAAGTATACGGAATTCGGAGTTGAAAGAGGATACAACGTAGGAAGTGAAAGCGTACAAGCTTGCCGTAGACTCTGCTGTCATCGGCCCTGAGCGTGAAGAACTTCTCTCCGCCGACGTGGAAGCCGTTGGTCTGTATATCCTTTATATTATCGCTGGCCGAGAACGAGTCTATTATAACCTTCATCTCCTCGGGGCTCACCTAGAGTCGAGTCAGACCAGAAGTAACGAGACAGACAGCAAAGCCAGTGCGAAAAAAAACATACTTTGAAACCAGGAGACGTAGCCCATGCGCTGGTGCCATCCTTGTCGAAAATAGCGGCCTGGTCGATGTTGCCGGAGCCAACAAGGCTGCAGAGTCAAGGTGTTAGATGGACGCTCTAGTCGATATAGCATCATAGCTGGATCAGGGAGACGCGGGAGCCCAAGTACCTGCTGTCAACGTATGCTACCGACAACAGTTAGCAGGTCCATGCAAGCCATACACGCATACACGACGGAGAGAACAGCCGGTACCAGACATACCTTGCCAGGACATGATGCTTGGTGATGTCGACGTGCGGTGGGTTTGCTGCTAAACAGGTGACGGCGGGGTGGCCGGCGGGAGGTCGGACGGCGATGGCGGATGCTGCTGGAGGTCGGTTTGGGGCGAGCCTTGCAGCAACGATAGAAGCAGAGCAGTGTCTGTTAGCGGCCGAGCAGTGCGAGGAGCTGTTGCGCAGTTTGCAGTGCGGAAGACGAAGCCGGCGATGTCGATGCTGTCGGTGAGTTTGCCTGCGGTGTTGGTGGGATGTTGTTGTTATTTTTTTTTTATTTATGGTCTTCTTTTACTTTTCTTACTCAGGGCGAAAGTGGGGGCGGCGTCGCTGCTACGTTTCGACGTCAACAACTACAACTTCAACTACAACATCATCAACAGCAACATCCACAGCAACATCCACAGACAGAGATGATGGCTGTTGGTGGCAGAACCAGCATCGACATCTCCAGGTCTAGAGCAGTCTTGCCGGCCGTCGTTCTCGTCTTCTGGCCGCGGTGGTGGAGGTACCGGCAACCCTGCAATCTTCAACCAGACGCCACGGATCCCCGGCCAGACGACAAGAAACGCAGAGGATGCAGGACCTGATATCGTCGGCGGAGCGAGATGCAGAGTCGTCCTCTTATACCTCAGCGCGGCGTCGCGGGTGCCTGCCCGTGAAACGAAACAGCTGGAGGCCCGCGGTTACAGCAGCAGAAGCAACAGCAGAAGCACAGAAGCAGCACAGAAGCAAACAGAAGCATCAGCAGCAGCAGCAGCTTCAGCTTTAAAATATGGCCAAGATGGCATCGAAATGAACAGGGAACGCCGCCGTCGATATGCACATCATGGCTAACTGCCTCATGGAAGCGAATTTCTTTTTCCTCCCTTCTCGCTGTCGGCCGGTCATGGCTTCGTGTTTGACGCACACTGGGATCCTGGCCTGGCCGGTACGTCTCTCACTGGTCGACCACCTCACTAACCAGATAGTTTGACGGGTCGCCAACCAACATCAATGCGAGTTTGCGGTTATTTAAGCTGCGCAGAAGCATCAGCCGAGTTAAAAGAGATTAGGCCTGTGAGGGATCCGACTAGCTTGTGCTAGTCGAACTTCTCTGTTTTAACCTCCTTTCTCCATCGTCCTTTTTATTTTTTGTGGTCGATGACGGCCCATCGATCGGGAGAGTCTGCCTGCTCGATACGAAGAGATGGAGCATTTTAGTGCTGTTGACGGCATCGCTCAACTCCAGTAAAATCGCAGAGCGCCATGGGAGTGAGATTTGTTATTTCTTATTTTGGCTAACGGAAACGCTGTCCCTGGCCGCGCTCCCGTTATGTTCCTAGCCTCCTCCCCACAGGCTGACTCCGTCGGTCCCCATCTTTAAATGAACCTTTTTAGCCCTTGTTTCAGGAGGCTGCCTCATATCAATATAAGCAAATTGCTTTAATTGAACCCTTTCCCGTCTCTTAACAGCTCATGTTAAGCAGGTTTCGTCTCTTTTATCTTTCTTTACTTCCTGTGTTTCGCTTTAAACCCCACGGTTTTCCCTCCTGGCTTTGCCGGTCCCGGGCTTTGGGTAATTGCCAGTACCAGTGCTTCTTACTGTTAGATATCTATTATTACTACTACCACCTATTTGAACTTGTTTATATACCCGGCCAACTGCTGTCAAGCTGGTTTTCTTTCATGACCGCCAATATAATTTAGCAGACTGGGCTCTGTGTGTACACTTTTTATTGTACTATGCTGGATAACTTAGTGACGATATGGGGAAGCAGACTGTCTCATCAAGACCAAGGGCTCACACGACCACCGGGACACCCAAACAGCAGCCCCACGAATCGCCACGGCCCAGCAATCTGCACCACCAACGTGCAGCAGTCTACAACGTTCCCGATAATGTGCACAGTCCGGCAAATAATGGCTCTCTACGGGAGCCTAGAAGAAGTAACACCGCAGCCGCCAATCGCAGTCGCAGTGCTGGAACATATGCGCCAACGCGATTGAGTCCGGTTACAGACAAAGGTTTGCCCCTTCGTGGAGGACAAGCTCGCTCCATACATCCCAACAAGGACCCTCGATGGGACGAGATGATCGGGGTTGCCCTGAGCAGTCCAACCGTGGACTTGTTCCCCGTACCGCCCACTACAAGAATCACTCCGTTGTCTTCTATCACCGCCAAAAGTGCCTCAACAAGTGCAGGTAAAAGGGAAGTACACACGGGCAGCGGTGGCCGGATGCAGCCCCGTGCCAGCACGGCCCCGAGCACGGTGTCAAGCACAATTTCAAACACAGTCACTGCCAAAAAACCACTGCAGCGGAAATCTAGTAAATGGAAGAAGTTCGGCGGCCTGTTCCGTGCAAAACAGGTCGAGTCCCCGCAAAACGAGTTCTTCTACCAGGTCCAGGTCAATGACAAACCTCTTCGTCCTGCAAAGAGTCCCAATTTCCAGCCTCAGGTATATATTGGCAACCAGTACCCGTCAAACTCAATGGATGCTGTGAACTCGTCAAAGACAAGCATAGACTCGAGATCTCAGGCTCGTCAGAGTGCCCACCATCGTCATCAACGCCAACGCACAGCCAACGGCTCGGATCCAGTCAGTAGGCCTCATCTGGACCTGTGTCCGTCGTCAGGCCGGTCTTCTTCACCCGAAGAATCCCCTAAACAAGCTAGAAAGAGGACTCCAGCTAAACTAGTCAAGAACGCCGAGATAAGAAGGTATTGGAACACAACGGCAGATGAACCTGAATCGGTACCAGATATTCTCCAGACTACCCCCAGTGGCTCGCCTTTCCTTTCGGTGGATATACCCAGCATTGAAATGGAGAGGTATAGTGTCATGTTTGGCGGGCTGATCGATAAAAATGCACCATCTCTACTGGCCAGGCGGAGTAGGGCGCTGAACAAGCTGAAAATTCCTGACAAGGAGGTGAGTCTACCCATACCAATACCCCTTTCCCCCTTACCAGCTACTGAAGCATGTCATTTTTAATCTGTTACAGGAAGATGATGGCCCATTGCCTCCTCCAAGACGTGCTACTTCTCCTGGGCCTGCTAGATCACCAGTTTTTTCACTTTTCCCGTCCACTCCAACAGATAAGCAGTCGAAAATATTAGGATCGTATTGTCTTCCTCGCCAATCCCCACGCCAGAAGCGGTCAAACACTCATCCGTCTCCGAATAAGGCTCTTTTTGAACGCTGGGACCACGATGGTGGTAGAGGCGGGCTAGAGTCTCCTAGAGATTTACAGCCTCCAGTTTTTCCAAACACGGATGATGCCAGCGACGGGTCCCTGTATTCGCCTACAAGCTACGATGGAGACTACCTCAACCCTGTGCGTTTACAGGTCAATCCTCCGGTCAAGATGGTTGAACCAGATTGGGAGATGGTGACACCAGCTCAGAACAAAACGAATGAACGCAAACCGCCGAAGAACCGTTATCCGTTGCTGAGTCCGACTCCAAGTAGTAATCTATCTGAACCCGGTGAGCAACCGAACGGATCAATCCCTCAAATCATCCATCCAGCAACGCCTCCTCAAAACGGCACCACAAACCACGACTTCACTGCGCATCCACGTGTCGATTCCCTCAGACCCAAGACAGCTTCTTCCTGCCCTCCGTCAAAGTCAGGCCACAAGCAAAGTCTATCCATAGACTCAATATCCGACGACCTACACAGTGATATCCACACAGCTCAAATCTCAATCGCACGTTCCGTATCCGTAAGCAAGGGACAGAAAAAGATTTTAGTCCCAGTCGGTGCAAGAACAGGCTTCCTTCGACCTGGTGAGCGATTTGTCGAAAAGCGCGCAGGAATCCCAACCCAGCTGGCGGTTCAACGTGGCCATCGCCATGCAAAGTCTAGAAACGCTTTGATTGAGAACGCCTAGTCTTTTTTTTTTTTTTTTCTTTTCTTTCCCTTCAATATTACGCCTCCTGACCACTCTTACCGCTCTTCTTCGTCCTTTCTCAGCAACACGAGAATCATATAGCATTCGCTATGTTTTACCCCCTTTTTCTTTCATACACCGCATTGTCAGCTGGCACTCTACTGCATGCGCCCTTTTTGCTTCTAATCTCGCGTTCGCTTAAATCTTACCATTATATCCCATCCTATATTCTATCTCTCTATACATTGACACCTCATCCCCTTGTCAAAATCCTCATGCCCCCCTACATCACCATTCGGCCCGGTACCCGGCGATCCAGGCCCCGTCCCGCTTCCGTAGATTTCCCATTTCCCATCTTCTTTCCTTTGTCTTCCATACATACGGAGTACATATACATGATTCACACGAGCCCTTGTTTCTTGCAATATTCAATGCCCGGAGATGGAGTCAGGGGTGACTTCAGGTTTCAATCCGTTTTCTTGTTCCTTCATTGCATTTTGTTGAGTTGTGGAGTATCTATAGCGATCACGGCAGGATATTGGGGGTGTAACTAAAATATAGAGCCTTTTTGGACTTTTGTCATTTCCACATTACTTGCATGCATTTCGTATATCCATCTCAGGTCCATGGGGGGGGGGGGGCTCCGCATTGGGCATAAAAAGGTCGATAGTGATCATGCATCTCTCATGCATTGACTTAAATACGAAGTCCGACTCACTTGATCATCCCTCGAAGGAAGCCATGGCAGGGCTTCCCCGGAGAAGAGCAAAGACGAAAACGAAGCAAGCAGCCCAGCAACTCTCCCGGTCTGTTCCCTCCCGAAAGCATGAAGGAGCTCCTATTAGCTTTTAATTTTAGACCCTTGGCCGGGTTCCAGGGGCACATCCAACGATCTTGCTGGTATCCTCGCCTAGGATCGATTCGGGATGGAAAGATCGCCTCCCCTTGTTCTATTCCCTACAATAAACAGCACTTGTTAAGATGCCAGGGAAGAGTATTATGGTTGGGTTGATTTATATTATGGGATTTCCACACACGCATTACGGGAGATATGCACATCTGTCCAAGGTTGATCTACTCTTTGCTTCAGATTGTCAGATAGCTCGGATGGAGCAGGCAATCGATGCTTCAATGTATTAGGTAACAGCTACCATCCAAGCAATTATCTAGGGGTCCAGGTCTTAAGATCGGCACTTTTTAAACGGCTTTTTTAATTATTATCAAACTCCCCTGAGGTGATGCGTTCTCCGTTCATGCCACAGGGTTGGATCGGGAGCTGTTTCCGTGCGTTCATCCTCGTCCACGCTAACTGGCAACCGTCCATTCCATCCCGATAATACGCATCCGCTAA